GGCAGTGTTTTGCTCGGTGCTCAGTTGCGTGGATGATGACTATGAAGAACAATCTAGCGATATATCTGGGATTTAAGCTCGTAGACGGATGTCCTCTAGTCAGAAGGTTGATCTAGTAGTCAGAAGGTTGATCTAGTAGTCAGAAGGTTGATCTAGTAGTCAGAAGGTTGATCTAGGGTGATATTAACGACACGACAGAAAAGTTCATGGCAGTTCCGTCCTGATGAGGAACGCCCCCCCCTTCAATACAGAATGCTACATTCGAGATTTATAAAATGCCAGCAGAGTCCTTATGTATGCATAAGCCTATTTCATTTTTTTTTAGAAAAGACATTGGAAAAGACAAAAAGACCATAAAAGGGTGATAGTAGGAAAGGGAGTAGAATAATGACTTAGACTATTATAAGGATAAATAGATACAGGTCGCGTATACAGTCGCTAACAATATCAGCGAGAAGCATTAATATGAATTATACAGAAGGACTCGGCAGGTATCTTGTGAATTTCGAATGTAACATTTTGTATTGAAGGGGGGGCTTTTCTTATTAGGACTAGGCTCGTCGTGCCATGAACCGTTGTGTCGTGTCGTTAATGCCATCCTTGATGTATCATGCTTTTAAAGAACCTGTATAACGGATCGGAGAGAAAAAGTCAACTTGATTGGCATTGTCTTTGGTGGTTGAATCGTTCATATTGAGTAAGGATATCCCGTCTTCTTTCGTGAAAAAAGGAGGTCATAAAGTCAATTATCATCGTAATTATAGCAGCACTCCAGCAAAGCACTACCATGGTTGAAAGGTAGCAATAACGAAACGAACATAATGAGACGTTGAGCAAAACCCCGAAAACACCAAAAACTCATAACTCATAGGACACCTTAGAGTGTAACAGCACAGGCACTCAAAACACCGCCCTCCCTCACCAAGCCCTCTGTAACCTGCGCCGACACGCCACGATCAATACCCAATATCATGAGGGCCTCTTTAGAGCCGGGGACATCTTCCTTGGACCCGATATCTGCGCTGCCGTCTTTGCTAGAGATAATGCTCTCAGTCTGGTCATGACCAGTTGCCAACTTTGGCGAGACCGGGGACACGGTCATGAAATTGATGTTGACTCCCTCTTGGCCGAGAAGACTACCCACGACGCCAATCTTGCCGGGCGAGTCATAGTTCTCGCAGATAAGAAGGGTACCCTCCGGCTCGAATGATGCTTCGAATCGGCCTAGGCGGGTGATGAGCGGTTGATCACCAGAGCAAGTACCAGAGATAATGCGCTGGGCTGCTAGCTGAGGACCAGCAGCAGAGTCAATAGGGCCGGGTGCACGAGATGAAGCTCGAGATGGCGGACGTGCCACAAGCGTGACGAGCGACGAGTACGACGAGGTGTCGGCCGGATCTCGGGAGTGCTGTTCGTTGACAAAAATGCCGCGCTCACGAGCAACGAGTTCGGCATTCACGATGTTAATGTTGATTCCCTCGGAGCCACTGATGGGGGCGAGGAGACCCTTGATGAGAGCAGCGAAAAGTGGCTTTGTGTTATTGATGCTGGCAACTTCGCCTTGGTAGATTAAATCGAATGTGTTTCGAGTCATAGATCCCCCAGGAAGCGCCGCGTAGTGTTGAGTGTATAGACTGCCAATTTTCTCGACGAGGCGCACGAATGGCTGGAGCTTTTGGTACTCTTCGGGGAGAATGAGAGGCGCATTGACGGCACTCCGAGGCAGCGATCCCTTCAGAATATCCAGCACTTGCTCACATACGTCTACGGAAACATTCTCTTGCGCTTCCACGGTAGAAGCACCGAGATGTGGAGTGACCACTGCTCTGGGATGAGCAATTAGCTTTGCGGCCGTGGAATCGGCAATCGGAGGCTCGGAAGTAAAGACATCAACGGCTGCGCCGGCCAAATGTCCAGACTCTAGCGACGCAAGTAGAGCAGCCTCATCGATGGTGCCACCGCGAGCGACATTCAAGATGCGAGAGCCTGGCTTCATCTGGGCCAATTCTGCTTCGCCGATCATTCCGCGAGTTGATGCAATCAGCGGGGTGTGGATCGTAAGGAAATCGGCCGATTTCAGCAGCTCTGGCAACGAGGTAACCAGGGTCACAGAGACCGAAGCTGCCACAGCTGGCGACGCATAAGGATCTAACGCATGGACGGTCATACTGAGGCCCTTGGCCAGACGAGCTACTGTCAAGCCCACTTGGAGGAACTGTCAGAGAGCTTGTTGCCAAATAGACCCGAGGCGGCTTACCTTTTCCAAGTCCAATGATTCCCAAAACTTTCCCCTTGACTTCGACGCCGACAAACTTGCTTCGCTCCCATTTTCCATCTTTGAGGCTGGCGCAGCCTTCGGGAATCTTTCGTGCCATCGACATCATCAACGCAATGGTATGCTCAGCCGCAGCTCCAATGTTGCCAGAAGGTGAATTGACCACGACGATTCCCAGCTTGGTGGCCTCTTCAACGTCTATAGCCACCAGGTCAGCAACGGCTCTTCCTTCCTGCAGAAGCTGTTCTGGTACATGACTGACCAACATTGTCTACCCCAACACCAGCACGAGCAACCACCTTTAGGCGCCGAGCTGCCTGCAGCACGGTCGCAGTGACTTTGGTCTCAGAACGAATGAGGAGGGCATCGTAGTTCGGAATTATCTCCAGGAGCTGCTCCGGAGTCAGACCCTTCCGCTCGTCGACATCGAGGGAGTCCCGTAGTAGAGCTAGACCATCGGCCGAGAGCTTCTCGGGCACGAGGACCTTTGGAGGAGCTTCTTTGAAGAGCGGCATGTTGCGAAATGAATTGTCAAAGGCACCAATTCAATGATTCACATTCGAATAAAAGCAGGGCAGGGTAATTGTAGGCGAAGGAAAGAGTGGTTTAAATGGGAAAGGAAGAGAGTCCGAAGCTGGACCGGACAGGCAGGCAGTGGCTTTGTTTCTTCGCGGCAGGCGCGCCCAGCGATCTCGCAGTTGTTTAGGTAGCACAAATTAAGTGCATTGACATTGACCCAATAACATGCCTTCGGATACTTTCAAGGGTACTTCTCAGGGTTCCCAATGGCGTTACGTCTACCCCGGAGCTAGCTGATCCGTCATCTGCGGCGACACAGGAACGCGGGGTAGTACAGTGGCGATGTTGATTGGAGACTTGACCTGCGGTTTCGGCTCCAAGGAAAAAGCATTTCGTATTACCTCTGAAGGGCATAATTAGAGTGGATTTTTACAAAAATTTCAAAGCGTGTCATGGTTGAAGTGAATGCAATATTGGAAACCGTCTCCACTATTTCTAGTTAGTCGATCATTTTGTCAAGTATACCCAACCAAGTCAGTTTCCTACGTACTGTCATTCTTTTCAGTGTCTATAATGGTGTCGGACCTTTCTCAAAGTAGACCATGGCTTGAACGGTTTCTACTTCCTGTCTCAACTTCCGTTATCGTTATACTTCTTGTACATCTATCCTTCTGGAGGATTATGTCTTGCTATAACGAGGGACGTAATCTGCTAACTTTCTACCATGCAACTCGATTCGATCGTGACCTCGGCCAGTTTCTCAGTCACTCTATTCATCAACTTTGATACATATGAAGCAGCGCTAGCTGCCATATTTGACTACGCACGAGGGTGTTCTACTCATCCCTGGCTACCTCCCACTCCCCAATCTAGCCTGGCGAGAGTGCCTGCGAAGGACAGCCCTAAATAAATTAAGATGTTCTGCTCTACCCGAAACCAATCAGCAATTGAACTAATACCAGGACAAGATTGGTCACCCAAGAAGGATTCAAGAGACTCGGTCATAGGATGTCTGGTTGACCTCAATCGGCTGGACGATAGACTGCCGAACACTTGGCTCAGAAAATCTTCATTAAGGACACAGGCTTGTAGCGGGGCCAATGATGGTATCATGCATTGTTCATCTCATATATTCCCTCAATTCGAAGGAAGGCTGCTGAATATGAAAGCCTGTGCACCACGGGTTCTACACCTTTCCCTCAATAGAAAGACTGAGAAACCAAAGGACTGAAAAAAGAGCTCAAAATCGGTCCAGAAATACTCTTGCTTCCGGCCTAAACGTATATGAATGTCAGTTCATGGACGAAACTTGGGGAAATATTGCAATCTAATTGAAATTCTTTGTTCATCTCTGACTTTTATGAATGTCCTGTAAAGACTGGACGATTTATCAATTCGGTATATCAGCGCGAACTGGTGCGCTCCACTCCGAGTCTCGATCAGATGGTGATAGAGATTGTCAATTAGCCTAGCAAGCAAACGATCTCACGAGAGTCAACACAGAGCACTAATATAGGATTCAAGGCTTCATAGCTGGTTGCACTCGTTTGGATCATTGCTATCAAGACAAATAATGAAACCTATTCCATCTTGCCACATAGACCCAAATCACCGTGTATTGGGCTGAAATTGGTAAAATGTAGGCTTCGTAGAGGACTTGAATACCCAAAAGGAATTTCCTCCGAATCCGGATAGTTTGTCGTGCTACGAATACAGAGGATATTTTGAGCGACATTGTAGAGAATGTGTTGCAGACGGAGTATAGAAATAGCAAATCGGGGGCGAAAATTCAGCAAAGTCCTTCTAGACCATATGAACAGCTCAGAATGAACGTGTCTGGAATCAATCAATGACAGGAAGAGGAACCTCAGCCAAGAACAATTGTCTGCATCGAGCAGAGCCTCCTGGCTTGCGTGCCTATTTTAGCATTAACATTGTCCCATTGCGGGTCACAGACTTTCTTATACGAACGCTTATCCTCGTGGTAATGCGACAGTTTCTTGCAAGCCATACTCTTTCTTGCTTAGCGTCTTCACTTAGCCTCCTGGCCCCCTCCTCCCCTTGTTATTAATTCCCCGATCAAACGGCACTGATCGTCGCCTCGTGTCCGGAATGATGATTGCTACGCCCAAAATAGAACGAGCCCCCAGAAAGATACGATCGCGAGCGGATCTCCCGTATTCCTGGGCAGCCCACCCGCCAAGTGATGCGGCTGTTGGGGCCAAATCTCGAGTTTCAAGAGTCTGTAGTCTCGATCGGGCATTCTTGGTTATCCTTATGTCGTAAATGTGGATGCGACGGACTCGAATGCTCGTTGGGGCTTTCCTTGCCGGTACCCTCCTAACGGTCAATCCCAGTTGCATCACCGTGCAGATTACTTGAAACTCTCACAGACACGTTGCTAATCTACCGGGGACTTCGAGCATGGACTCACGAACCCACTCTCTCTCAGTGAACAGGACCCCCGGTCTAACGGCTTACGGTGGGACTCTTCTTACGCCGCGTCACTTGGCGCGACTTGGACCGCCCTCATCTCCACCGGGGTGCCTGTCGGTTGGCACTCCGGACAAGGTTCTTGGATCCTGGACCTTGAACGCAGTCGACGTGGGAGGTCTTGGAATTGAAGGGTCAAGCTCTTTCGATCTTAGCTCGGGCTTACTTGAGCCCATCTTTCTCATTCATCCAACGCTCGTTTCCTGGTTATTTTTGTCGCATCTCTCGAGGACGCATCTTTCAGCTCACGGTCTTTTGATCTTGCAAACTATTCCGTTCTATTCTATTCGGGCTAGACTTCTATTCTGTCTAGTCTGCCCGGACTGACTCCGACGAACGGGAATCACATCAAACCCCCCGCAGACCCTCTACTTAAAAGACGCAAACCTGCCGTGCTAGCGATGCCCTAGACTGCCTTGCTACCCCCTCCCTACGCAAGCATCATGAACTATTGATATCTCGCTATCGCGCATCATGGTGGGGGTCCCACACAGTACTGGTTGTGCACTGTGTCGCGAAAGACATATCAAAGTGAGTCGGAAGCCGACCTGCTCGGCCAGTACCAGCTGGACAATAGAGACACCTTTCAGCTTTGATAAACTGAAGTTTTCTGCTAATGCATCACAAAGTGCGACGAAGCAGTCCCCGAATGCACCCAATGCCAACGCTATGGCCGTCCTTGTCCGGGATACCGACGTACATTTCGCTTCCAAGACGAGGGTCCCAGTCTAAAACGCCGTCACCGCTCCGTAACCCGCGGGCGAGGCCGCGGGGCCTCAACGGGTCCCAGCACCCCCAGCACCCCGGGCACAACCACGCCGCAAATCGAGCCATTCGGACAGCCCGAGCCCGGGGGTGGTGCCGCGGCCGTCGTACGCTCCAATGCCATTGCCTTGATGCGTCGGCACTCATCGACGGTCACGTTAGACGAGAACGTGTCGCCGTCACTTGTGCGGAAGACGTTCCAAGCTGCGCAACCGCAGCTTTTTCTGGACTTTATTAGCGCATCATTTCCTACATTATACTTCCACAACCGGTTTCGCGCTGGCAATGAGCCGGGCTTTGCAGAATTCATTGTGCTGAACTTTGGCCAAGATGCGTACCTGGATACGGCCATTTGCTGCTTGAGTTCGGTGTACTTGGCGCATTTAACCCAAGATCCGGTGCTGCTTCGTACGAGCCGGCGCATGTACGGACTCTCGCTGAGCGAGGTGATTCGTGCTCTATCAAAGAATGAACATGCCTTGTCAGATAACATGGTCTGCACGGCTATGATGCTAAGCGTATACGAAATGTACGCCCGAACGAGTCATAATGCATGGGTCGTGCATGCTGACGCCGTACGACGGCTCATGGAAAGTCGTGGTCCGGCGCTGCACGAATCGGGCTTCGGGCGATCCTGCTGGATCGCATTTCGAGGATTCCATATCGCGACGGCCGTGTACCAAGGGAAACCTTGCTTTCTGGATCAAGAGGAATGGCAGCGTTATACGATGCGGATTATGACCGAAGACGCTCAGAAACCCGGGGAATGGTCTGCGTATGCCTTTATCTCGGATAAGGTCTTCATGGAGATTGCAAAATGTCCAAGGTATATCAGCGAGACACGGGAAATCTTGTCTAGCCAAACAGATGCAGAACGGGAGAGTGTCGAGGCTCTTCTACGGAGAATCCAAGAAACAACCATCAAACTGCACAAACTGAGCACGGAACTGCGTTTCTGTATCAGTGCCCACGGCCAGCGTCAACAAAGCATTGTCTGTCGCCCTGGCACGTTCATCGGCCCGGTCCCGGAAATCTTCCCTGAAACGGGTCCCTCTCTTCTTCTCCGCGGTGCGGAGAATATCCTGGGGACACTCGGTCAGCTACGGGAGCGTCTGGAAGACAAGCTGCGCTGTCGTGTGAGTGAAGAGCTCTCGCCCGACTCTGTCGTGGAGACGCCACCTAGTGAAGGGAGCACGGCTTCCCAGTCTCCTACCTCGATGTCCACTCGGCCAAAGACGTTTTCCTTACCCTTTCGCATATACTCCGAGCTCGGACGGGGTCCGTCGCAAACGACTGATCGGGACGATCCACGTGCGGTGATTTGGCTAGATCGCGTTGCTTCATCGATGGGCATGCTGGGTACGAGGATTATCGAGGAGACCCCGACTGTTAGCGATGTTGAAGAAGAAGCGTCACCCGAAGCATCTACCCTGAGTTGATGAATGATTCAATCGTCGTAACGAACTGTTTGTCGCTCCACACTTATACCCGTCCTAGCAGGTCTCTAGGATCTGAATGTCTTCCACGTTCAACGTTCCACTTTCCTATTCGCTTCTGTCATCCGCGATGCACAGTGGCACCCCATAACCTCATACGCATAGTGCACCTTTGACATATCCAATTTCTTCAGCGTCGTTCAGTATCATTTGCACAAATATGTATATATACATCCAGTTCGGGTTCCAAATCCCAACCAACCACTCGCTTCCTTGAATGTCAATTCCAAGATTTTGTAAGCGTTTGACACCAGGTCTTCAAGTCCTAAGACTAGGAACCATAATCCCAGGGTTCCACAATTAATACTCCAACGACTCTTCCAACAACTTCCTCAACTCCCCCTTCTCCGCTTCCAATTCCTCACTCAAGTTCGGCGCAAGCATCAAAACTCTCTTCTGTGGAATCGTCCCCTCAACCAACCCATCCACATCCGCCGCCTTGAAGCCCAAATCCTTCAATCCACGCGGCTGATCTCCCAACTTGACCAGGAAATCCGAAATGGCTTCGCCCAGCACCTCTCCCGCGCTCTCGCGCTTGACATTCGAGATATCAACTCCGAATGCCTCCGCGGCCGCCAGATGTCGGTCCGGGTTCGAGGCCGCGGTGAATCGGAAGACGGCGGGCGCGGTGACGGCGACCGACACGCCGTGTGGAATAATTGGGTAATCGACCTCATAGCCGGCGTGCTTGTAGCCTGGGTTCTGGCTGGAGATGGGGTAGCTCATGCCATGGCACAGGTGGACGCCTGCGTTGCCGAAGCCGACGCCGGCCAGGGTGGCGGCGAGGAGCATGTTTGACTGGGCTTCGTGGTCATCTGGGTCGCGCACGGCGCGAGGGAGGTACTTGACAGTGCTACGCAGCGCTTCCAGGGAGAAAATGTCGGAGATGGGGTTTGCGCCTTGGTAGGCGGGTCGGTTGATTGGGTTCGTGGGGCGAGGAGTGCGCTCATTGTAAGGGATTGCGGTCCAGGATTCGAGAGAGTGGCAGAGCACGTCCAGGCCGGAAGACGCATGTACGGCGGACGGCATGGTTCGAGTGTTGAGCGGATCACAGATACCCAGAGTAGGCTTCAGATTGCGGTGGGCAATGCCCGTCTTGGCCTTTTTGGAGACGAGGTCGAAGATGGCGGTTCCAGTGGTTTCTGAACCGGTACCTGCTGTCGTTGGGACGGCGACAAGGGGACGGAGGGGCTTTGCAATGGGGAGACCCTTGCCCAATGGGGCGTTGACGAAGTCCAGGAAATCGGCCTCCGGGTAGACAGTGTATAGATTCATCAATTTGGCCGTGTCGATAACGGATCCACCGCCTGAGAGAGCCGTGTTAGCTTAATCGTGCCTGTTTCAATTCTCACAACATAGCGAACGAATACATACCAACGGCAAGAAATGCGTCAGGATTATACGGCTTGGCAAATGCAATAGCATCCTTGACAGAGCTATCCTTCGGCTCCACGCGGACCTTGTCATAGATGGTAAACTCAATACCCTCACGAGTCAATCCCTCGACGGCCTGCTTCATGGCATCCAGCTTAGCGACGGTGGAATCGGTCACAATGCACACGCGCTTGGCTCCCATATTCTTAAAGTCCATGCCGACCTCTTTGGTGGATCCAGGACCAAATCGAATGCTCGAGGCTGCCATTTCAAAGGCATACTCCTTCTCGCGCAAAGGATCCGTTGGTGTCGCCAGGTGTCGCCGAACGTGGTTCATCAGAGACGGGGTCTTGTGGTGATGGTGGTGATTGGGATTGCCATGACAGGGACAGTTTGGAGGGTGAGTGTATTGTACCGTTGCCAAAAGGCTGCGGGCACGGGTGGCGGCCGTGCGGGCCACTCGAACTGCTGGCGCGGCCATGTTTGCTGTCGACTATACTACTAAAGGAGATAGAGGAGAGTAGGAGGGGAGAAAGCGGATGATGAAGGGGGAGTACAGTAGGACGGTGAGGTTTGTGGAATGTGGGAGTTGGGGAAATGGAGAAAATGCGGGGATTAGTGGGATGTGCCAAGTCGGCCTTCTGGCCGAGGTTGGAGTCGTTGGGTGGTTCGGAGGGCTAACGGGCGGCGAAATGAGCTCCAGGAATTAATTTTGGAGAATTGGTGGAGTGGATTGAGATTGCTATTCCAGATTGGAATTCATTATATCAGATCTTGGTGTTTTAATCGCCGGGGTTGACTACTTTACCGAAGTTGTGCTTTGCGGAGACTCCGCGCGTCTTCAGCCGAGGTCCATCCATAGTAAATGACATCGACTCCGAGGAATACCCAGACGTGACCCCCAATTTGGAGAATCTTTTGCAAACAGATAGGTAATATATAGATAGTATTCATTTTTATAGACTCGGATGTTCAGAGCTTATATCCCTATTTAAGACAGTATCAAAATCATTCCCATGTCCCACATCGGTCGTAGTTTGTATACAATTTGCCCCGCAAATCGGGTCCGGCTCCAAGTCGTGTCTGCAAATCATGCACAAGGTTTAGATTAGAATCTCCGTGCTCAGCACAAGGTGAGAACCAGGTCCTCCGACAACTCTCGCACCCGAACTTGACTACCAGATGGCTGGATTCCATTGGGCCACTGAATGGCCGGTTCAGCCGGTGACAGAGCGACCGGGTGACCCTTGAAGGGATCTCCAAAGACATCCGACAGATCATACCACACATTTTGTCCGTTAATGTTGTATGCAAACACTGTCAATGGTGCGCTGTTATAAAGACCATTCTGCTCGGTACTGATCTTAAGTGCGATTCCCCCAGATTTGTGGTCATGGCGGAAGGTTTCGCCATAGCGGTTGCCGGGAAGGACCGTCGCTGGACTACGGGTAGCTGTGCCGACAGACCAGATATAAACGGGGCTGGCGCAATGATTGATTATAACGGCACTGCCGATGCGGGCATTGGTGGGTGCTGGTGTTGGTGTCGCGGATGGAGAAGGGCTGGCTGCAGCGGGTCGAACAAAGCCTCCGGATGAGCCGTAGGGGACAATGAAGGTTTTCTCGATGACGGTAGGGTGAGAGAGAGCAAGGCCGGCGAGACAAAGCAATTGAAAGAATATCATTGTGACTGCAGTGAAGAACCGTATGGGTGGTACTATGCCGTCGATGCTGTATGCAGGCAGATCTATCTCTTGATCTGATATTCGAGGGTCCAAGAAGCTTTATACTTGTCTCTCTGCACCATTCGCCAATGCCGTGGGCAATTCTATGGCACGACCAAAATTCCCCGGATCAAAAGGCTCTCTGCATCTTGACTATGTACGGGATGTAACGTCCATGCGGCGGAGTGCATTCGGTTCCAGACGCACATCGACCCATTTCAGCAGCAGAAGGTGCTAGGCGTCGCGATGAAGGGTCCACCAAGTCCTCGGAGCTCACAAACAAGGGGTACATTAGTACTACAGTATCACCACCAGATCACATTATTCAGCGCCGGGGCGTTCAAGATTCGATAGAATGCTACACCGTGGCGGATGGGTACTTGTTTGAACATGCGTACGGGGGGGACTAGACTCGCGCTGGTGTATTAGAAGGAGGAGTCACAATACCCAGCCTGACAGAAATTGGAATGTGCATGGGCGGAACAATGGAATCAGATGTAGCTTGATTGATTAGGGTATTTTTGACGAAGAGAATTGCACGTAGAATGTGGCTTGTGCGAGTAATGTTCCGAGAATTTAACCTTACAATAGGGTTGCTGGGCTGTCTAAGACCGATAGAAAATATGCAGGGCAAAGAATGCTAATCTCCACAGTTTGATATAGTGGGACTCCTAGAGTCCCCATGATCTCTGACCATCTCCCATGCACCAAGAGCTTCTGGTTTTGGACAGAAGCATTGCTCGACTTACCTATACATTCTCAATCTTCAGTGACAGCTCAAAAGCTGAATTCTAGACCGAAAAAATGCCACGCTAGACGCGTCCCGAGTCTCTCGGTTTTATAATAGCTTTCTAGATCTGTTTTCTTTCGCCTTTCAGATGCCCTACGATAGTCACTTTTCTACCTTAATTACTTATCATTCACCGTCCGACTGAGGACATCGAAACAGAAATCTCGTTGGCATAATTTGCTTCCCGTCGAACGACTCATACTTCGCTTTTTAAAAAAGAACATTGAGATGATATTACGAAAGACTTTTCTTTCGCGCTTTTGTTTCGATTTTCTGAACTATCACTGTAATCTAGGTGACGGTAAAACTGTCGCCTCGGGAAGCGATCGGCTCCGCAGCAGAGGGGTGAGTTGGTCATCCCGCCGCCCTGAACTACCCATGAAGCAAACGTGAGCAGCTCCGTGAGCAACGCTAAAAATGTAGTCTTGGGGTAATTATCTTGGTCTTTAATATATCATACTAAGTATTATTATTTGGTCGAGAAATATCTGAGGAAGTGATATTGTTGACATACAAATCTGCATCGCTCGATCGCAGTGTAAATTTGGTTTTTATAATCTTTTCCTGGATATTTCAGTTACGCTATACTATCTATAATGCTAAGAATTCATATGCTACTGAAAAACAAGCAAAACTTGGGTCTGGTCATTGATTTACTATGACCTTAAAAATCGTATTTAGTATGGTGTTTTGGGGTGGCCAGGTATAGTGCACGCCATTCGCCTGCGCTCTCTCAGGTCACCTTCTCCAGGTAAGAAGTAACGGGAATTGATCAAAGTGAACGAATTCCTAGACTGCCAATGCAATATGTGGATCGTTCTTCCGATATATTTTAAGCGCAATCTTCTGTTGGTTCTGTTGGCGCTCACGGACCACAGTGGCACGTGAGACGCAGCTGATCTGCGAGCTGCCGCGGAGCTGCCGCTGCTGGCAATGGGACTACTAGTACCTGTCATGTCAAGAGGCTCCTCTCTTCTGGAGATTGACTCAACGTCTCATCAACCTTCTGAACTATCTTTAGTGTTGTTTAATGTTCGTTATTACTGAACCTTTCACCCAAAACTACGCTAGGCCTTAAACAATATGTCCTGTCCTCCACGAGATACTTTCCAAATTGGCTGGATCTGCGCTCTCCCGATCGAGACGGCTGCTGCTGCCGAAATGCTGGACGAGAATTTTGGAACTCTCGAGGAGCAAGATGCAGCGGACTCAAATACCTATACTTTAGGCCGGATTGGCAAACATCACATCGTGATCGCCTGCCTCCCCGGAGGGCAATACAGAAGTACCTCAGCTACTACCGTCGCAAACAATATGATTCGCACTTTCTCAAAGTCACTTCGAATCGGATTGATAGTCGGTATTGGGGGCGGAATCCCGTCGGCTACTCATGATATTCGCCTAGGCGATGTCGTGATTAGCTACCCCCAAGGCACTTGTGGTGGGGTGATTCAATATGATATGGGGAAGGTTGTTGCAGGAGGTGAATTTGAACGAACCGGCTCGTTGAATAGTCCCCCGAGGGCACTATTGACCGCAGTTAGCACGATGAGAGCCGCCGCGCTGAGGGATGAACCCCGCTACCTGGAATATCTTCATAGCGCGATTGGAAGAACCGCACGAACTCGGAAAAACTTCGGGAAACCTAATGCACAGTGCGATAGACTATTTCAGGCAAATCACGATCATCCTTCGAATGCGAGTAGCTGCGATGGATGTCCAGCGGGATGGGAAGAGACAAGAAGTGAACGCGAGGATAATAATCCGCAACCCCACTATGGTATCATCGCGTCTGGAAACTCTGTTATCAAACATGGGGAAACAAGGGAGCAGCTAAGGTCGAAGACAGGAGCGTTATGCTTTGGGATAGAAGCAGCCGGTTTGATGTTGGACTTTCCGTGCATTGTCATCCGCGGCGTCTGCGATTATGCCGATTCGCATAGGAATGAGCATTGGCAAGGATACGCTGCCTTAACAGCAGCATCATATACGAAAGAACTGCTCTGTTACGTTCCCATTGGCCATATTTCACAAGAGGCATTGGTGGTGGATGTGTGTAGTAAGCACGGCTTTTTTTAACTTAAGATTTCCGCCATTGGCTAACGCGATAATATATAGCTGAATTGAAAGAAGAAATTAAAGGCACCAATCAGCGTTTAGATGGAATTAAAAGCCAACAAGATCAGCACCATCTTAAACAGATTGAGATTGTTTTAACAGGACAGCAACGGAGCTGCCATCAAACTTTCAAGGTGGCCAACTACACGGAGCAAAAGAACATCAATCCGAAAAGAGTTGAAGGAACATGTCTATGGGCTTTGCAGAGCCCTGAATACATTCGCTGGTCAGAGAGCACTTGTAACGATCTCCTCTGGGTGTCAGCTGATCCGGGGTGCGGGAAGTCTGTACTAGCCAGGTCGATTATCGATGACTGCTTGAAAGCTCCTGGCCAAGCAGTTAAAGTATGTTACTTTTTCTTCAAGGACAATGAAGAACAGAACCATCTTGCAGCAGCAATGTGCTCGGTTCTTCACCAGCTCTTTAGCCAGCGACCTGATCTATTGCGTCATGCTATGCCATCCTGGGAAAAGAATGGGGAGAAGCTCCGACACGAGGCTGAGGAGCTTTGGCGCATCTTTGTAACAGCCGCATCAGCTGAAGCGTCATGCAAGACGATTTGTATATTCGATGCGCTTGATGAATGCCGGAACGTTGACCAGGGTCGATTGATTAGGAAGCTCGATTTATTCCAACGCCAGCTGTCTTCATCAACACAAGATACATATTTGAAATTCTTAGTCACCAGTCGCCCCTACGACTATATTCAGAATCACTTCAGAGCGATATCAAACTCTTTCTCGCATCTTCATCTAAAGGGAGAGGAAAATAATGACCAAATCCATAAGGAGATCGATATTGTCGTGAAACTGAGAGTCAACGAGTTAGCCGAGACTACAGCATTGTCACCCGATGTGACGCAGCGACTCGAGCGACAGCTTCTTCAAATGGAACACCGCACGTATTTGTGGCTACATCTAGCCATGGATGATATTCGATCTACATTCGAGGATAGCCTTCGGCCTGCCGAGGAATCAATCCGAATGGTACCCCCGTCAGTCAATGAGGCATACGAAAGTATTCTTAGGCGAGTCCCTTCTAGCCAATGGGATATTGTGAGGAAGACCTTACAGATCATTGTTGCTGCACGCCGTCCCTTGACAACAGTGGAGATGGCTATGGCGCTAGGCATAGCCATCTTTCCACAATCACGAACTGCAGCGGAAGCTAGACTTGATTCATCACTGATAGTTAAGAAGCTCCGTCGTTTATGTGGGCTTTTTGTCTTCATCAATAACTCTAAGATCTATCTTATCCATCAGACTGCAAGAGAATTCCTTATCGCGAAAAGCAGTTCGACAAATGTCGGTCTCGCATACCCGTGGAGATTGAGTGATGCTGAGGACCAGATGGCTCGAATATGTTTGCGTTACTTGTTAATGGAGGACCTGGTGCGTGATAACGACAGACTTTGTTCTAGTACCCAAGATTTCATGGACTATTCGGCAGTACATTGGCCCTATCACGTAAGGCAAATGGATCTGGCTTCGTACCAAAAAGCGGCCAACCGAGTGCATCGACTATACGACATGGATGGAAAGCTATTCTCGCTGTGGTTTCCTATCCTTTGGAAGGCAGCAAGGCCTTACGAGAGACTGCCTACAATAAAGGCATTGCATCTAGCAGCATTTAACGGCCATGAGCAGGAGGTTCAATCTCTAATTGGTGTTAATACAGGCGACGTTAATGAACCAGATGATACAAGAACGTACGCCGTCGTATGGGCGTCATTAAATGGACACGAAAAGGTCGTGCAGCTACTGTTAGATTGCGGAGCTGATATCAACGCCCAGGGTGGCTTCTACGGAGACGCTCTCAAGGCCGCTTGTTCTGAAGGACACCATAGGATTGCGCAGCTACTGCTCGAGCGTGGAGCCAATGTCAACGTCCAGGGTGGACAATACGGAAACGCCCTTCAGGCCGCTTGTTCTAAAGGACAAGCTGATATTGTGCTGCTGCTGCTTGACTGTGGAGCTGATATCAACGCTCAGGGTGGCTACTACGGAAATGCCCTCCAGGCCGCTTGTTCTGGAGGGCACGACGAGATTGTGCAAATTCTCCAAGGCCTTCCTGCCACTGACCGGCCGACATCCTAGCTTTTCCCTTCCAAAGCTTGAAGCTTTCATGATGCCTCTCATTCATAGCGTGATTACTTTAAACTGTATTAAATCATCACCTTGTTACCTTGGGTCCTTTTGCTCTTTCTCGACAGATTTTTTATGATTTCTGTCGTTGCTATAGATTGCTTAAAATTGAAAATATACACAAGAACTTTGTGGTACATTGTCTATGGATCTGTCAACTCGGCAAGAATGTAATGAAAAGCCACTCCATATCATTTAATTTAGAAGCGTTCCTGCTTATCGGCTGAACTAAATCTTCATTTCGCCACCCATGCCGGAGATTCATGTGCAGAGGAACCGGAAGATCGACTAAGACGACAACTGGGCCCTGCGGGATTCGGGGCTAGGCAACCGAGAGTCATTTGGTGACGCGGGGTGCAATGTAACGCAGCCTTAGATGCCTCAGACGAAGCGGGGCATGCGTCAAGGGGACTCTGGCACTTTGTAGAGTGTGAATGTGGACGTGAGACTGGTGGAAACTTGAATAGCTTTGTAGTATGATGCACAGTCACTCGCTTGAGCGAGGAATAAATATTTCAGCACGACACTTCTGCGAGTTGGATCATCCTAAGTGAATCTGCTTCTGGGAGACTGCTCCATTCCAAGGACCAGGGCGAGCTAGGCGTCGGATCGAGCGTTAGCTTTGGTAAAGTGGAAGGGCCAGCGCGTCGGGCTTAAAGCTAAAGCGTAGTTGTCGGTAACGTCCAGGGTGAAAGAAAGGTGGTGACGATGGGTGCAGGATAGAGGATTTGAGCGGGAGGAGAAGAAGGATAAGAGAGGTCAAAAGGGCAACATAGGGTGCCTTTATGTTGGGGCGATGGGAGGAATAGGTTACGTGACGGTGTATTGGGGTGCCAACCCTAAAATGGCAAAACCTAACGGATGAAGTAATTAATAGGTTCCGATATTATAAGGGAAAAATCATATAGGTGTAGACTATTATCTTCTGCTCTCGGTGGATTGCTATGGCTCGATCCTAAGCTTACGAACATATACAAAGTCAAGTAGAAAGGATCATTAGCCACTGCAGTAGCTCTCGTCGTTAAGACACATCCCAGCGTGTTTGATTCATAAGAGAACCGCGTAGGGCCAGTAGTTAGTCTGAGGCCCGGTTCTCTACAGAACTTTTCGTCACCCTTTCTCACCAACTCACTTCGTTCTAGAACTCGTGAAATACTACAAAAAGTGTGTGCTCAAATGCATATTGTCGGTAATCAAGATCCTTCTTGATAGCCTCGTCTGAGTCGATTCATTATTTTGGGGTTTTGGCTGTGGTGGCAAGAATCGATGATCGAAAGTCTGTTACTTTAATGGATAACGGCAGACGTGAGCTTAATAGCTCGGGTACTTAAAGGCAAGCGATACTTTAGTAATATAGGTGAGTTTTGCACTCAAGCTCAGGATTAATGTTATTACCTTAAACATGCCCTTACGTTCCTAGAGCTAGCCATACCTGCCATGAAACAAGCTGATGAATCGAGATGAGAGACGGTTCATAACGAACTGTTAGCAGTAAACGATGAACGGTTAACGATGAACGGTAACCTGACAGATAATGACCTTGTACACGTACTTCTAAGTGTACGCTGAATAACCGCCAATTTAGGGTGGTCTATGAATGAGTCCATAAATCGACCAAAAAAACACATGTTCTCACAGGAAACTGGAAAACATCCTGCTGTACAGTACAGGAGACAGATCAGGACGTACGTTCGTTCCCAGGAGCTGGTGGTCAGTTCCTAGGAGTATAGGCACCGTCCCTCGGAACACGGCTATATACTCCCCGATATACCTGAGCTGCTGTGATTCGGTTATAATCCTTAGGAACGCAATTACTGCTCCCGGGGACGTTTACTTGATCCTTGAAGCTACTAGCTTGTGTAATCCTACGGCGGCTGTTAAGTTTGTGTCGAGACATGGAGCGGTAACTTACCGCCAGGATAGGGGTTGTACTGAGTTCTCTTTGTCTTGCATTGTAAAATATATCAGGTCTAAAAAGGGATTATCCTGATATAAAATGTACTATATAGAGATGATACTCGTGAGGTACGTTCCTAATTAGGTGTCATTAGAGTTTCATATAGTCCCTTAAGCATGATCGTTTCATATAATGTCTGAGATTTAGATGTAATTTGATGGATTTTTGTCTTGGATTGAGATGGAATTATCAGAATCTCATTTCACTTAGACCTCGCCTCTGAGGTCTCAATTCTCTCAATCCAGAGATAGACATATGAATTTAAGATATTGCGAACCGAGGTATAAACGCCACCAGACAGATAATGGTCCCTCCCAGCCTCGATCTGATTCCTGCGCCCTTACTGCGAGCGCAATTGATGCCCTCCAATATCCTCGCGTGGACCTGTTTTCGGGTCTCTCACTGCTTCCATCTCTCGTCTTAAGAGGGTAGCTCCTCGCGGGCCTTTCGTTTCTTGTGGGAAGGTGTTCCCTCGCTCGTCAAGTCGACGACGGAAGCACCCTCCGAAGCCTCCGAGAAAGGAGTGCCGGCGGACTTGCGCTTGGCTGGGGTACGAAGCTAAAAACCGTCAAGTCAGCCTTGAAAAGGACACGAAAGGAAGGGGAAGAACTTACGGAAGGATCCTTCCGGAAGTATGGTCGGGATTCTGGCGAACGAGCCCGCGTCTGACCCAAGACGGGATCTCTCCGGTGCGTAAAGAGCATTTCACACCGCCGGTCGAGATATCATCTTGAGGGGCTAGCTCCGTTGGTTAGCAACTAGGTCTGTCATGGCCAGGTGCGATACAAGATACATCGGATCAAGAGATTTAATTGCTCACAATGTATGTATCTTTGGAAAGAAGCCAAACGTATCTTATCACCAGGCAGGATCCTCTTATACGGCCGAGACCCGCTAGAATAAACAGTATCCCCATGTATGATAGCTTGCTAATGAGCGATTGGGTTCTTTTGGGGTTCGGAATAGAATCTTATCACCAACAATTATATTCGAGCGTTTCCCAGCATGGCCATCTCGAGCGCAACGATATAAGTCGCCACAAGAGTTGCAGCAAGAACTTTGTGCTTGTAGACCGCGAACTCTGCTGAGTTGGTATTCAAACCCGCATGGCTAGAATGTCATTTGTTTTTTTTTTATCGAACCAACCTAGTTGCGGCTATGTTCTTCATCCACCCGATTCCCGCAGCTTCGCTAGTGCAGCTGCAATACCCTCGTCAAGCTCCTCGACTGGCTGGCTCGTCGTCGAGGCGTTCTTAGTCGTGGCAGATGCGGCAGCCGTCAGCCGGCTCTCGGTCAACACGGAGCGGAGTACTGCTTCGTCGTCATCATCAACCATGGCTGTCTGATCGAATCCACTCGGGGGTCTCGTTGGTGTATTTCGGGCTTTGGACGCTGGAGCAGACGCCTTTTTGGTGGTTTCCACCCTGAAGTCTTCGCGGACGGCATTACACCATTGTTGGACTTTTTTCTCGCCCCAGCCCGGAACGGAGCTGATCTGCTCTGGCTGGGCGTTCACTGCATTCTGCAAGCTTCCAAATGTCGAGATCAAGCTTGCTGCATCTGACTTGTTGATGCTTCGCGGCGCTGTAACAAATTCCACCAAGGACTCCTTGTATGACTGTGCTTGTTGCGTGCGAATGGCAGTAGGTTGGGCGTGTTCGGAGGACTTGAAAAGTTCGAGGTAGTGTGCGGCTTCGGGGGCGGACCAGCATAGCATCAGAGTGAGGTTGTTGACGATCGACGTCTTCGATAGCTCCTTGAGGGCGTCTTCGTGGTTGGGAATATCCACCATTACCAGCACGATGCGCAGGTTGTACTTCCCGGCGAGGAGTCGGATTCGAGAATAGATGTATTCAGGGTGAAGTCGGTGATATTTAAGTGAGAGAAAGAGAGCACATGCTGTTGTTCCAATCACATAATCTGCGGGAATATCGGCGTACTCCCATGGTAGAAGCTTAATGTGGTTCAGGATCGGGTTGCCCTTCTGTCGCGTCGACACGAGAATCGCTGACGGTCCTGATCGGTTTGGGAGAGCCTGCGGTTTGGGCTGCTGTACTTTTGGCTGGCTTGTTGACGGGGTCACAGAATTAGATGACCGTGCATTACTATCACCATCTCCTCGCGATTGCGACGCCGAATCACCTCGCGTTTGAGCGTCCATGTCGAACTTGTACTGTGAACTGATAAAGCTCGGCCGGGGCTTATCAGACCCGCAGAACCACTGATTCACCGCCCAGCGGCGTAACAGCCTTTTCTGCCGCCAATTTTTTTGTCCGTCTCGATTGCGAAAAAACCAAGACCAGCTTGTGCAGTTCTATGGCCGAGCCAAATAAGAAACGACGCCTCTCCGAAGAGGATCTTTCTGAAATCGCCGATAACAAAATGGAGACAACTACAGCCAAAGCCTGCGAGGCCTCGGCTTCGAAGCAGCCCAACAAGACGCTCTTCGTCCGATCGCTTCCCGCCTCAGCCACCACAGAAAAGCTCGCAGAGTTCTTCTCAGACTCCTATGTGATCAAGCACGCCACTGTCGTTTTGAACCCAGAAACCAAGGCTTCCAAGGGCTTCGGTTTCGTCACATTCGCCGATCTCGAGGACGCCCAAAGTGCTCTTGAGGAGTTGAACAATGCCGACTTTGACGGCAAGAAGATTCGTGTCGAATATGCGCAACCCCGTCACCGCGACATCGATGAGAAACTGGGCAGGAGTGTTCCTGCTGCCGCTGCGATCAAAAACAAGCAGGAGCGTGAAGATAAGAGAACGCAAAACCAGCCACCGAGGCTGATCGTGCGCAATCTGCCGTGGAGCATTGAGACCCCCGAACAACTCTCCCGACTTTTCCTAAGTTTCGGTAAAGTCAAGCATGCAGTTTTGCCCAAGAAGGGTGATAAGCTGCAAGGATTTGGATTTATTGTCTTGAGAGGTAAGAAGAATGCCGAGAAGGCGCTTCAAACACTCAACGGTAAAGAAATTGACGGTCGCCAACTGGCTGTCGATTGGGCCGTTGAGAAGGAAGCCTGGGAAAAGGCCAACGAAGCCACTCAGGAGAAGGAGGATGAGAAGGACGAGTCGGAGGATGTTGATATGGAGGACAAGGAAGATTCAGAGGTGGCCTCCGGCGAAGATGCTTCATCAGACGTGGATGAGGACGATGATATGGAGGATCTGGAGGGCGATCTTGAGAATGACGACTTGGAGGGAGAAGAGGCGGATGAGGAAGAGAAAGAAGACGACCGCACGGAGTGCACTGTTTTCCTTCGCAACCTACCCTTTACCTGCACCGACGAGTCGCTCTACGAACATTTCACCCAATTCGGACCGCTCCGATACGCCCGCATTGTGATCGACCATGAGACCGAACGGCCCCGCGGTACTGGATTCGTGTGCTTCTGGAAGCTCGACGATGCCATCACCTGCATCCGTGGTGCTCCCAAGACAGCGGAGATGCCCACTGGTGACAAAGACCGCTCCAAGCCCTCGATGAAGCATTCCGTACTACAAAGCGAGGATGCTGACCCCAGCGGAAAGTACACAATGGAGGGCCGTGTTCTACAGGTTGCTCGCGCAGTCAACAAGCGCGAAGCCACGAGACTGAACGACGAGGGTGTGTCGCGCCGTCTGGTGCGTGACAAGGATAAGCGCCGTCTGTACCTTCTGTCCGAGGGTACCATCGCGTCGAACACGCCCATGTACAAGAAGCTGTCACCCTCCGAAATTAAGATGCGTGAGGCCAGTTTCAAGCAGCGTGAGACCTTCATCAAGAAAAACCCGGCCTTGCATCTGAGTCTCACTCGTCTTTCTATCCGAAACATTCCCCGCCACATCACCTCGAAAGACTTGAAACAACTTGCCCGTCAAGCCGTTGTTGGCTTTGCTACCGACGTCGCCAATGGTGTTCGCGAGCCTCTCTCGAAGGAGGAGAAGTCGCGCTCTTCCGAGGAGATGGAGGAGATGGAGAATCTGCGCAAAACCAAGAAGCAGGGTATCGTTCGTCAAGCCATGATCGTCTACGAGACCCGCGAGGGTACCAAGGTTCCTGAGAAGGGCGGCGGTGGTCGCAGCCGTGGATACGGTTTCATCGAGTACTTCACCCACCGACATGCTCTGATGGGTTTGCGCTGGTTGAACGGTCACCCCATTGAAATCCCTGTCAACAACGAGGAGGAGGATAAGGACCGAAAGAAACGTCTGGTCGTTGAGTTCGCCATTGATAACGTACAGGTTATCAAGCGCCGTAAGGACCTGGAAGAGAAGAAGCGTCTTGAGAAGGAGAAGGGCGCCCAAGAGAAAGACCAGGAGGCCGAGGAGGAGACCGACAAGAAGGGAATGAAGAGGAAGCGCGGAGGCAAGGGCAAGGACGAAGAGGAACAAGAAGAGCAGGATGACGAGGAGGAGAACAAGATTGCCAAACGCAATCGGATCATTGCGCAGAAACGCATGAAGCGAAAGTCTCGTAAGGGCAAGGCATAATGGCGTTTCTTTCTCTCTCTTTATATTTGTCTCGTATAGAACGACGGCTCGTTAGCCAGCATTCTGATTCTTGTTTTGTATCTAATGAGCTGAGTTGGCTTGGGCGATACCACACCGCGTTGGGAAATACAAAAGCATTTTGTTTGACAATCCATGGACCTTATTTTTCATCTATCTTCATCTTCATATCCGCGGGTATACGTGACATCCACTCAATTCTCTGCCAGTGATCACCTTTTAAAGGTTCTTCGCACCCTCGACCTTTCCAACAATGTTGTACCGCTTGCTGAAGAAAGTGTACCACTCATCCAGTGTCTGCTTCTCCTTCTCATCCAAATCATACCACTCCGGTACACAATCCTCGGGCTTCAGCGAGGACTTGGCCAGAGCACGCGAAGCATCCTTTCCGACGAAAACTACGTCCCAGCACGGCGAGCATCACGTCAGTCTATGTAAACGAGTCGGCGCAATTGCGGACCCCGTACGTATCGGGCGCATCGAGAACTCACCACGATATTGCCCCGACGCACCGTAGGCAGCGTTACGAGTGACATCGAAAACGGTGCCTTTGATGGCCACCAAGGTTGGGCGGCTGGGATCAGAACCTATGAGCAGCAAGCAATGTTTGTCAGTCGGCATTCGCGGAAAAGAAGGTACCGGGGAGAGCGCGGGACGCGGGGATGTATGTGTATACCGTCGCACTTGGCCAATTCCTCCGTAGAGATCAGGTCGTCCTTTGGCGGGTCCAGCTGGACTGGCACTTTGGGAGCGAAGCGTTCAGACATGGTGGTGTAGTTGTGGAAGGGTGGGGAGAAGTGAAGCTCGCGATGATGGCCGAGGAATTTAAAAGAGCGTGGGGTTCGGCGGGTAAGCGGGGTTCATAACCTTACCCGTAGGTCGTGTACTCCGTAGTTCAGGGCGGGTGCTGACGAACTCGTCGCTGTGATTGCACCATTGCGATGGAGAGCTTCTTGGGATATCAATATCGTGGATGTGCTGGCTATTACATTGAATCTTTTATCAGAAAGATCATAAAAGAAATAAGATTGATGTACTCGGCAAATGTCATAAAGGCTTCCCAACTGGCAGATAACATTTACCGATAACGAAGATTGTTTTGTATACCACGGGACTGACTTCATGACGTCAAGTCACGAGCGTCTACTATACTTTCGTCTTTGTGAACGGTCATCCTTAAAGTGGCGTACACCCGATGACACTTAACCACCGACTACCTTCATCTCTTCTTCGAAGCAAAGAATAGTTGTTGGGCCTCAAGAGAACTTCGACCTCACTATCCTTCATCTGTATATCGATCAACATACAACACATCAGACCTTCCCACTTCTTCAGATATAAAGATGTCCTCTCCTCCTTCGAATCCACATCTTCGCTCAACGCAGCCTGCGGTGCATGATGAGGTGTCTCGAGGCTATACCCAGCCCAACCAAGACTTAACAAAGGCCGACGAGATCCACCATCTCTACTATGAGGATAACGATAGTTTCTTCCCGCCAGCTTGGCTAGGTAAAGCCACGAACGCGTCGGAGCGCAGATCTTCGAATGATAGTACAACTAGTCAGGATCCGAAGGATTAAGCTGGTGTTCGAAAGAGAAGAAAATGGAATTGGAGCGTTGTTTTCTCGCAACAGACCTTGTTCCTGACATTTTTTGTCTTCTTAACGGTGATGTATTGTGACTTATATCATGCAGCAATCAGAACTACTGTGTGTCCAAAACATGTCCTAGTTAGCCAGACTTAATATATCAATTAGGTAACTAGTGGACATAGTTAGTTTGAAAAGGATTGTTAACGTGATGGAGGACGGATATATCAAAAGAATATCACCCGGATATATAATTTCTCGAGACCCTTTTGAAATGGACAGTATGGATAGTCCATCCAGTGAACGCGAGCACTCCATCATTTACTCAGGTCTCTGATATTTGACCGTTACACAAACTCAGAAAACCCCATGTCTTCCATATGACCCCCCACAAGCAAAGTGAACCTCGGCAACGTTTCCGCCCCACTAGTCCTCCATGCCAGGGCTTTCCGCACAACTCTAGAACTACGAGAGCAAGGGTTGAGAGACGCGACTTTTACAGCACGACGAACGACTTGAACGTCCATCATGCAAGAATAACGATTCTCCAGCTCGCCTAGCTGCCTTAGTCGAAGACTACTCAGTCAAGCCTCACCCAGCCAAATGGCCGATTGACTCTCCAAGGTAACGCCATGTGGGGACACGGCGGCCTGCGAGCAGCAAGCAAGGCAGGGCCGGGACAGGCCTCGTTTCTGATTTGTCCCCGGTCATGCTGGCTGTCGGACTATGCCGAGCTCCCGGCTACATTTCCTATGAGATTCGCTCTGAGATTCTTGAGATGGTCTGCCAAGCAATGGAGGGAAATTGCCAAGCTGGGGAAAGAATTTTCTCGTCTTGAGGACTTGGTGGATTAACTTTCCATCTCTTTGCCTGGAAATAATTTCTTCCTCTGTTCATGTTGTGAGCCTTCCTTGTATTTTCCTTCTGTGGATCGATTCGGACACCAAAATGTCAAATCCGCATTCGCAGCGGAATGAGCACGGTTCTCATTCGCCCATCGCCGCTGTTATCCAGCGCGCAGAGTCACCCGAAGATCTTCCCGATCCTGAGGGGAAACCGGTCAAGACGTCTGACAAAACTGTCGAGATCGCCGAGAAGAATCTATCTGGCAATCGTGATGCCTCAATCGATGGTGGCTCTATGAAAACGACCCATGACCATACCCGACGGAAGCTCAAACCTCGCCATCTGCAACTGATCGGCATTGGAGGAACTATAGGCACGGCGTTGTATGTGCAAATCGGTAACAATCTTCGCACTAGCGGGCCTGCAAGTTTATTCCTCGGATTTACTATTTGGTAAGTGGAACTCGTTGAGGGGAGAGATCTCTTTTCCTATGTTTTTGTTCTATTTCAAGGTCTGGGCTCGACAAACACATTGGCTTGCACTGGAAATTACCTGTCCAAGTTTCACACGACTATAGCGATGGACGGCAGAAGATTCTCAAAAAAAGTCAAGAAGAAACTATCAATTCTGCTATTCAATTCCCAGCGATAAGGGACGTAAGCATACTAGGCGAAACACATCATCTCAGTCCAAGGACAGCACTCCTCCCATTTGCGCCAATGCATTATACAAAGCCCCCGCCGACCTAGCCAGATGCCCAGCTCGACCAGCCCTGCAGTCCCGGACTCCTATTGCGCCTTGCTGATTGATGGGTTTTGAATCTTACTCATTGGTGTTCTAGGAGTTGCATTATCTTGATCATAACCGTTTGTAAGAAACACCTTCCACTCCCTAGCCCATTTCAAGCCATGAGCAGCAAAATACTCGCAAGGTGACCGTCCCACTGCGATGAATAAGGAAATACCATTGAATCGCCCCTTTACGATATCTGGCCCCCAGCGACTTTTGTCATCACCCACGACTTTGTCGTCGTTTTGGGTTCAACCATGGGACTTACACTATTATCTAGGTCTGGCAGAGATGGTCACCTACCTACCCATTTCCTCACCTTTCATCCGATTCGCCGGTCGCTATGTCGACGAAGCCCTCGGCGTTGCAGCAGGCTACAATTTCTTCATATTCGAAGCTGCTCTCGTACCTTTCGAAATCGTGGCTGTCAGTTTGATTGTCAATTACTGGACTAGTGCGATTCCAGTGGCTGCGATGAATGTGATCGTTCTTGTACTATACACGTATGTCCCGAGCTTGCAAACACATTGACGCCTATGTTAACTTTTTAATCAGGATACTCAACGTCTTCGCGGTCAAATGGTATGGCGAAGCCGAGTTCTGGCTATCACTTGGAAAAGTCTTGCTCAGTATCGGCCTCATCTTCTACACGTTCATCGTGATGGTCGGCTGTAACCCGCTAGGTGACCGGTTCGGATTCAGATACTGGAATGAACCCGGTGCTTTTGCCGAATACTACAAGACCGGGGATACGGGCAGGTTCCTTGGCTTTCTGTCGGCACTCATTGCGGCTAGCTTTACGATCGCTGGCCCGGACTACGTGTCCATGGCTGCAGGAGAGACGATTAACCCGCGCGTGGTTCTTCCAAAGGCGTATAACGGCGTGTTCTACCGTCTAACAGCCTTCTTTGTCCTTGGTGTCCTATGCGTGGGAATCCTGGTCCCGTATAACGACGAGACTATGGCCGATGCATTTGACAATGACAAGCCCGGTGCGGCGGCCTCGCCGTATGTAATCTCCATGGATAGATTGCATATTCCGATCTTACCGCATATCGTCAATGCGGTCGTTCTTACGGCGTCGTTCAGCGCGGGCAATAGTTATGTATACTGTGCTAGCCGCAGTCTCTACGGTCTTGCACTCGAGGGAAAGGCGCCAGTGTTTTTGACGAAGTGTACGAAAAAGGGCGTACCGGTTTACTGCGTGGCGGTGGTTTTGTTGATTGCTCTGTTGAGCTTCCTCCAAGTCTCCAATGGCGCATCCGTGGTGTTGAACTGGTTTGTCAATCTGGTAAGCCTGGACTCAAGACTAGCTTTGGACTTCGCATCTAATGTTACTTTAGGTTACCGCCTCGCAACTCATCAACTTTTCCGTCGTCACGTTCACGTATATCCGATTCAAGAAGGCCCTCGATGCACAAGGTATTTCGCGCAGCACCCTGCCATATCGCAGCTGGTACCAGCCTTATATCGCATATGTCGCTTGCACAGCTACTACGATCATGGCCTTTGTTGGGGGATATACCGTCTTCTTGCCAGGCAAATGGTCGATCCCCACGTTCCTGTTCTCATACACCATGATTGGCGTGTTTCCCATTCTTTACTTTGGCTGGAAGATATTCCATAAAACCAAAATTTTGAAACCGGAAGAGGTGGATCTTGTGTCTGGATTGGCGGAGATTGAGGAGTATACGAGGGATTTTGTTTCTGTCCCACCCAAGTAAGTGTGGCTATTGAGCCCGAGCAAGCTTCACCCGCTGACTCTCTTTAGGACTATCGTGCATAAGTATGTCGGTATGCTATTCGAGTGAGCTTGCAAGGGCCACTCTCGACGCCGACAGGGTCAACGGTACCTGGTCATGGAAAAAGAGAATCTACGATACTTGTGACGATTCATGACTTTGTTCAAAATAGACACTATTATACACTCGGGATCACTCGTTTGATCGCAACCCCCCGCCTTGTAAACTCCATTACCGAAAATGCACATGTAGAATAGGCCCCAGGGCCACCTGATATTCCTCCCCACGAAAACCCAGCAACTTATTTCGACTCCCCAGCAGCCTCAGCAGCCCTCAATTTTTCCAAGCGCTGCTTATTTCGCTTCCCCAAGATACGTAACGTATTCTTGCGCTCGATCTCCGTCATCTGCTCCCAATTGCCGATCCGCGACAGCGTCCCGTCAACATTGACAACCATCGGCCCGAGGTGGTCGAGCGTGACGCCTCCATCAGCGCCGAGGTCGAGGCGAAGTTGTTTTGGCTGTCCATCGCCAGACGACTCGGTCGGTGGAAGAAACAGCTGTTCCTTGGAAGCCTCCGCTTGGGTGTTTTCCTGGGGTTGCGCTTCGCCGGTCTCTTGCTTTGAAGAGGTCCCGTCTGCAGGGGGTGTAGAGGAGGACATCGTGTGCGAGTAGCGGATTGATTCGTAGGATCTGTTGCCAGGTGCGCACTGTGGGAAGAGGATGCTGTAGAGGCGGGAGGAGGTCACCGAGGATTGTGGTAGCTGCGTGGAGGCGCCGAGGGACCAGGCACTGGGAATGGAGGCGCGAGCAAAGATCGGATTCACACTGAAGTGAAAGAGGGCTGCACGGTAGGCTGTACGCGACAACTGCATGCTTGGGCCGTGGGAAAGGTGTAGTTGGGGAGTTGGGTTGAGCGATAAAATGGTCGCGGTAGAGAGCGGAGTCGAGATGGTTCTGGAAGCCGCCCCGCAGAAGCTCCGAGTCTATGGGAAATGCTCTACTTTTTGCTGGATTTCAATACAGAAGTAGTGGGTTTGATTGGAATATGTATATTGTGCGATTATATTCTACATGGGAAGAAACTGGCGACAGGCCTTTAAGTAACTCTGCTTCTATCGAAACCACCAATTGACCTATTTGCGCGTTAGTACTTGCGACCGCACGTTTCAATCAAGGCGCACGAGCACACTTACCGACGCAGTCACTCCCTCTCCGACGCCTTTGATGCTATGCCACCATCCTTTCGGAATGAATAAGCCATCGCCAGCCTCCAAATGCGCCTCATAGCCTGATCCTTCCGTGTCTGCGGAGGCCGAGTCACCCCATACCCGTTCATCGAGCAAAGCTCGTTCTTGACCCTGCATCATCTCTTCTCCGCGTATGGCAGCCGCACCCTTGCCTCCATCCTTGCCTAGCTGTCTTCGTACAGAGGAGAAAAGCGCCTGTCCCTCCAAGGGCGCTAATAATCGCACAACCTTCTGTCCAGCCAGCTGGACGAAGAGGTTCGGGTTCGGATCGCGATGGAGCGGGGTGTAAGTAGGAGGGTGTCCAATCCATACATTTGTATCGTAAATATCACCCTTGCCGGCCTTTGAAACAATATCTGGTGTTGGAAAATCGTCGCGAAGGACGTGAGGCAGGTCAAGCAGCTGGCATTGTGCGAGATAGAGTCGCGTTGACTGCGGAGATGTCTCGGCCGTGCGCATCCATTCAAGGAACAGCGTGAGCGGTGCGTGGAACTGTCGGAAGCTTACAACGTCCGACGCACTAGCTTGCTGTGACAGATCGCCAATTCTATTGCCACATGAGCTGGAAACCCCCAGCTCTGTAAGCTCCAGCGGGACGAACGCGTCGGCGGCATGCTTTTCGAGGTATTCCAGGTTCAATCGAGTTTCAGGCCCACTGGTCGCGCCCGATCGAGAATTGGTGCTTTCAAACCAATTCTTCACCGCAGGCAGGTCACGAAATTGAGAGCGTGGTAGGACAACGGGGTGCTCGGGGGCAAAATATTGTTGTCGGAATGTGTCGACGTCGACATGTTGAAGCGCTTCGAGGGTGCGGTACGGACGAACTAACGAGACCGAGAAGCTGCGCGAGCCATGAGCTGGCCGTAGGAGGTTAGGAGGGAACGGGCGCGAGAGTCTTCTCAAGGCCCAATTGCTGTGTGTCCATGGTTGAAGCTTCATCCAGGCAAGTTGAAGATTGTGGAGAAAGGATGCAAGGTGGAAGAAGGTTTTCAGCACCCAAGATTCGGTGGAGGTTCCACATCTCCCGGATTTAGTCTGCCACGATCATCGGGTCACCGTAGTCAAGTGGCTCCAGTGACCTTCGAAACGAGTTCGAAGCGCTTTACAGAACCAGGATAGCAACCCAAAGGGTTCAAGATCAGCCATGGTTAATATGAATGATTATTGTCTGCAATGTAATGCACAATCAACCTTGTTCTCCATGTCGACCGTGTCACGATAACAATACACGCTGGGAACCGAGGTTGCCCAGCTTCCCCTCATTTGAAAGACCGGAGCTAAAACCACCGGTCTCCCCGTGGAACTTGCTCTTTGTGAGCCTGTCCATGAACCATCGTTCGTTGGAGTGAGAGAGATCATTTCCTCTCTCGTCTGAGCGCAATCTAGCCCGGTTTTCTTCACAGGCCGGCTTTCATTTCATCTCGGCGCTACCATCTTGTGTACCACAACTACTATCCCCAGCCATCTGATATTGGTGTCCTCTTGGGACATCAGTTCTTCTTTTACCAAACTCGTTGCATCATCGCCCAAGATGCCTTCGGTCTCTAGTATCCACAAACGCCATGTCTACGGCAAAGATGCTCATACCTACTACCCCGTGCTCATCATCGGCGCCGGCGAGTCCGGCGTTGCGATGGGCTGCCGTCTCAAGGAAGTCCTAGGAACGGACCAATTTCGAATCTTTGAGCGACAGTCTGGGATCGGTGGAACATGGTGGATTAACCGGTACCCTGGCGCGGCCTGTGATATGTACGTATTCGCAGACCAGGCGGATATTAACTCCGATCTAACAGAGAGACGAACCCAGCCCCGCTTTATTCTATTCCTTTTCATTTGCACCCAAGAAAGACTGGTCGACTCTGCATCCCTCGGGACCTGAGATTGCACAATATCTCGCCGATGTCTGCGAGAAGTATCAGATTGTCGACAAAATTCAGTTCCACACTGATGTCAGCGAGCTTCGCTGGATAGAAGAGGATGAGGAATGGGAGGTTTCCCTTTCCCATCTGGTCCCAGGAACGGGCGATCTCTCCTCATATGAGCGAGAGCAGCTTGCGAACGACAAGGGCATGCATAGCGTCTATGTCAAAAATGAGATTGTCCGAGCCAAGGTCGTCGTGAGTGGTGTGGGTGGACTAGTCGAGCCAAAGACATGGCCCAAGGCTATCCCCGGCATCGAAGATTTTGAAGGGGAGATCATGCATACGGCTCGATGGGACAGTGATATTGACCTGCAAGACAAGAATGTGATCATGTTCGGCTCCGGCTGCAGTGCCGCCCAAGTCGTCCCCGAGCTGATCAAGCCAGAGGCCAACGTGCGCTCCATCACCCAGCTAATGCGTACGCCTCCCTGGGTGCAGCCAGATCTCTTGCCGCCCCATCTCCTTGTTCACTGGGATAAATGGATGCCCGTGTTGACGACATACGTGCCGGGACTGGCACGTTTCCTCCGCAATAACCTCTTCTGGATGTTAGAACATAATTTCTTCGCCATGTTCACTGACACGGCCTACGGACGCATGATGCGGCCAAAGCTGGAAAAGGCATTCCTGGATCACATGCGCGAAGTGGCACCGAAGGAATATCATGAAATGCTGACTCCAAACTACAGCCTCGGATGCAAGCGTCGTATTATTGATGGTACATGGTACCGCAGCCTGCACTCACCAAAGGTCACGCTGACGACACAACCACTGACTCGTGTTCATGCGAGAAGCGTGACAATCGGACCGGGCCATTATTATCCTCCAGGCAATGACTCCGATGACGAAGCTCGAGAGATTCCGGCCGATGTGATTCTGCTTGGCAACGGCTTCGAGACCAATCAGTGGTTGCACCCCTTGAAGGTCATCGGCAGGGGCAAGAAGAACATGGAGGATCTTTGGGCGGCGCGAGGAGGTGCCCAGGCTTATCAGGGCATCGCAATGGACCACTTCCCGAACTTCTTCATGCTGTTCGGTCCAAACACGGCCACCGGTCATACAAGCGTTATCTTTGCAACTGAGAACGCGGTCAACTACTCCCTGAAATTCATCAAGCCAATTTTGAACGGCCAGGTCCGCTCATACGAAGTCAAGGAAGAGGCCGAGCTGGCGTGGACCAAGAACGTGCAGGAACAACTGCAGAAGACGGTCTTCCGTCGAGGCGATTGCTCCAGTTGGTATATCACCGCCGATGGATGGAACTCTTCAACCTACCCGTAAGTGGCTTTGCGCGCACTACCGTGTGTATTTATACTAACGTGAATTTTATGTAGATACTCCCAAATTCACTACTGGTACCGATGCACGTTCCCTATCTGGAGCGATTGGACAGCAAAATGGACTCGAAAGGGTGCGATTCTACGGGGAGTCCGCAAGACTTTACGCATCTCATTCATCTTCAGTGTGATGGCAGGATTGGCGTGGCTACAGAAGAACCCCGACCGGCGCGGTAAGTTGCTGCTAGCCTTGTTGGCAGGGAAGGACTGGCTTCTTTCCAAGTCGCGCGGTTTGTATTAAGTGAGATCTACTACGCTGGGCGCTTTCTGTGAAATAATTTATTCTCTGGACATGGTCGGAAACATATCAGCTTTGGGCTCTATGTAGCCAAATCTATCAAATCCGGAAAATAACTTTGCCTCACCAGCCGTAGAAGTTAGCGTAAGTGGCTGACAGGATAGGCTGCATACACGTAATGCAGGGTAGATCAACTATGTCGAATTTACATGCCCTCTTCCTTACCGTTCAATTACGATTTTCTTTCTCCCTCTTATTTTGTCCGACCTTGATACTCCCACAAGTATAATTCTTGGGACTGTACTATCGTATATCATCATGCCTTCACTTCCGCAGTTAAGAAAGGCACCCGTCATTCCATCTTGACAGCCAATCAAGTTACCGAGGACCAGGGTGAGTCAGCCATAAATCCGGGGAAAACGGCGAACCCCGCGAGGAATCTCTCCGCACGAGGTCGTCACAATTTCCTCCCAGCTCACCCCAGCCCTCAACCCAGGTGACACTAAATTTAGGCTGTCATGACTTCGGAATCACCTCAGGTCCAAACGACCCCACCGCAGTCCGTGCCTGGCGACCAGGAGGCCTCTTCGGCCCCCGACACAGCCAAGAGGAAGGCGGAACAAAGCAACGGAACGCATACGCGCGCAAAGCGGAATCGCTACATCTCGATTGCATGGTATGATCCGATGGCCTGATCTCGTCCAATGTATTCCCGAAGGCCCAGCCCCTCTTCGTTCTTGAGGAATAGCTCTTGCTAGCAGCAGTCTACCTCTTAGCTGCGCTGCAGGATGAGGCCACCCTTGGTGGCTCCCCGCTTTCACGCTCTTCTCGGAACTCGCAAACACACGTGCCTAACGGAGCTAACCGCCGGGTTTATGTTTTAGTAATGAGTGCAAACGCCGCAAGATCAAGTGCAATGGCCAAGTCCCATGTCAGCGATGTGGCCATCTCAATTTGGAATGTATGAGCCCTCACTCGCCATCGCAATCCTAATGGCTGCTTTATAGCCATTTGGAAATGGCCAGCTCGGAATAGCCCCACTAACGATTACTCCAGGCCGATATGCGCCAAATTGCTGCAACAACAACTTCAAAGAATCCGAGTGAGTCCCAGAAAACCAATTCAACTGCCTATTTACAATTTCGAGTCTAACGCTCCATCATAGCGAGTTCCGGTCGATGACCGCGCAGTTGACCACACTGCAAGAACAAGTCAATAGCCTTTTCTCAAATCTCAATGAGCTTAGGACGCAGAAGCCGGCCTTTGAATCCCCGCCATTTGACCACCTCTCACGCGATGGCTCCCAGTCCGTCTTCACCCCTATGCCTGGTAGCATGCCAAAGACACGATCTCGGCATCCACGGTTCCATGGACCTACTAGCTCGGCTTTCAATTTCGATGTCGCCAAGACGAGTCTCCAGAGCATGGGCATCAACCCGGCCGAGGACGGCATCGCTGATGACATGACGACAGCACATGTCACACCTTCCGGCTCCCCGCCTCCTCACGTCGGTCCCTTGGTCCAGTCGATACACCCTACTAAGGATCCTATCTGGAGCATTCGCCGCGATGAGGCCCTCAGGCTATGCAAAGTCTACGAGGAAGAGATAGGGATTATGTACCCGCTAGTGGATATTACTACGGTCACTGCACAGGCTGATCTACTATACACGTTCATGGAAGCGGCTACGCGGACAGGATTTGCACAACGAGGTCTCCCCGGTGCCGACAGTCTCCATGATGATAGCACGATCATTTTGAAGCTAATTCTTGCAACCACGCTGGTTGTGGAGGCTGGGGGCCAGAGTGACCTTGGTCAACGTCTTTATCTGTCTGTCAAGCCAGTCATTGACTCAAAGTTGTGGGAACCTCATGACATCAAGAACATTCAATTGTTTGCCATTGTGGTAAGAAATGCAGTTCGACAAAGATACCATTTTTTGAGGTGAAAGCTAATATTTGCTGCGACAGGCAACTTACCACTTCCATACCGATGACGATGCTATGGCCTACCGATTGATCGGTCTCGCTGCCAGAATGTGCTTGGAAATGGGTCTTCATCGACGGGACGCTCTGATGAAGTCGTTCCCCAATGAGGACTCGTGGAATCAAATCACGCGACTCTTTTGGACTGTCTATAGCTTGGACCGACGATGGAGTTTAGGCACGGGGTTGCCATTTGTCATTCAAGATGAAGATATTGACCCAAACCTACCGGAGCCCGTATGTCCCAAGAGCCACAAACAATTTGACTTGTTATCTGACCTGATTCTGCTCTAGGACTCATCGCTACCATATCTACGGTGCATGATATCATACAACCGCATCAGCTCGAAGATCTGGTACTCGGGTCGTGGTTCCGAAGGCGCGACGGACGTTCGGCGCGATGAGATTGGATACCTGGACTACCAGGTCCTACAGTGGTATAAGCAAGTGCCAGATGAGCTCAAGTTCTATCCCGTGGAATCTCCAAAGACTGGCGAGACTGCAAACCGCGGCATGAGACGTCTTCGAGTCCTGTTATATCTGCGCATGAATCAGCTGCGGATTTTGATTTATCGCCCGGTGCTTCATTCCGCAACAAGCATTATGGAGGATCGTGGCCATGCACAGACGGTGGTGGATGTCGCCAAGGACACCGTCCGAGTCCTGACCCGGCTCAACCAGATGTCTGACATCTACCGCACGCAGCAGATTACCTTTAACTATTTCCTGGTGGCAGCATTAGCAGTGTTATTCCTCGCCGTGTGCCATGCACCCAACGACTTCAACCGGCAAGTGCGGGACGAGTTCTATATGGCATTGGACTTGATCAACGGGTTCAGTGCCAAGTCTTACGTGTCCAAGAGACTTTGGAAGACCATCAAGGGTCTTCGAAAGATTGGCGAGAAACTAGGCGTCCTGGCTCGTCCCTTTGGCCCTGATGGCAACGATGCCCACTCCACTGCAGCAGTGGCCATGGCTGGCCTCGCTGGACATTCCATCGAAGAATTGTCCATGTACGGTCAAATGAATGGGGCCACTGAGTTGGGGAACAGTCCTTTGAATGGTCTCCAGATGAGCCACGAACTGACGAATTTGTTTGAAGCTGTTGGAGCCTTTGGAAACTTCGGCGCTGATAGCATGAACGGGTTTGTTGGCCCAGATGGGGAAATTCAGAATACTGGAGAAGGGCTGTCGGGGATTTTGGGAGGCGAGGAAGAGTTTTCTCGAGTAATTCGTGATCTGTTCTGATAAGGAAACATATTAATGAATCCGAGTACAAATTGATCGTTGATTTTACGGTGAATGCGTCACTTCCGCAAACAATTGTAGTGAATCGATTTTGGCCCACTGTGTATTAGACTGCCGTACAGCCGGGGGACTCCACGAAGATTGAGTGGCATCAGTATCGACCCCTTCGTGACTTTTTCTTGCCAATACCATATGGAGTCACTGCCACCAGTTTTAATCTTCAGAGTGCCGGACTACATAATTCCTCATGAGCACCAAAGAAGTCATCCCGGCATTTCTCTAGCCACAAATGCGACCTTGACTCGCCGCTGGCAGGCCATCATCGAGAGATTATCGAGAGATGCACGTTTTCGTCTACCTCTACATCAACACACCTAGGCGATTGGAAGAATTTGCACAGATAGTGTCAACTCCCAACCGAAAATCTTGTGTTCAAGTCATTGACTGACCCGTGTAGCTGGAACGATATAACAAGGGAGCGCGCGCTCGATTCGAGACGGACGAAGAACGCCAACGAGACAACAGGATCTTAATCACGACTATCTGCACGCTCTTTAGAAATATTTCCAGACTGGTCAGACGATTCTGGAATATTGATTATAACCAACGCACGGTCTTCTCGTGACTTTCTCGCTCTGAAAGAGAGGAGGCAACGGCAACGAGTGACTGGATCACGGGTGAACGATTCGTTCGAGCGGAGATACGAGAGGTCATACATTGCCGACGTGACGGCAGGTAGGACGGAACTGTTATGTTCACATTTGCGAGATAGTCTCATAATCGAGATTCTGTGGTATTGGTTCCGGAACTCTCCTCGCCGTTGAATCTATAAACCGACAATCTTGTGGAAGTACCTTCCTAGCCAAACTTGGTCGATGTTTCTAAGGATTATGTGGAAGTAACACCAACTGAAGACTGACTCCTTAGAATATTAAGTGCGGGCTAGACTGGCGGCATCGACTTGGAGGAATGAGAATCATACGTACGAGCCATATGAAACGGATGCAATAGGAAGCCACAAAAAGGCCAAGAGTTTATACAGACCGGCTGAGTAGGTCTTCGTAGCCTAGAGCAATGTTGCCCTCCAGTATACAGAAAAAGATTTCGAGATTGATTTAAAAAATGGGGAAATTGAGAATTCGATATTACCCAGATTCAAAGGTTGAACTGTAGTCACGAGAGGGGAACAGTTCGCACCTATGCCGTATAGCTTGCGTTGGAAATGAGGAGACACAATGGCTCTAGTCAGACTAGCTGTAAGATCAATCTTCTCTTAATTAATGTAGCATGCTCTATCTTGTCCGAGTCTGCAGCTGTCTATAAAGTGTAGGGCGTCTCTCCCTCTCATAGAGGAAATGAAGTAGGACTTATGCACGACCGACTCCCTGTAGCCGGATACTATGGTTGAGGTTGGGCTACCGTGGTATGATCTACCGTTATAGCTCCTTCACTTATCCTCTGTCCTAGCAAGAAAGTACTTATTATGGTCGATACCGATTTCGGATGATCTCAGTGTTGGAGCAGTTAGAGCTGCCCTCGTTGTAACTTAGTCTTCGCATATGTAGATTTTTCAATTATTCTACCCATTCTGCTTAAACCTGATCAATTTGAAAGCGCCTTTATGATTGTTTGTATAGAAATTCCATATTTGCGAAGACGAGACGAAAAATCGTGGGCTGCACTGCTCACTGTATAGACGAAAATGACATTCACGTGACTACAGCGCGCCAGTCTCATCGCTTCTGGTTTTCTCCCCGCCGCATTGTCACCACCTCACGGAAATATCACCTCACCGACAGCTACAAGCCCGACTTCAAATTGCGTCGCAAAACGGTCCAGCTCTTTTGTGGTTCGTTTCACTCCCCCCACGGACCAAACTGAGCCTAAACAGAGTTCTTCTCCAGCAGATCGACAAGCATCACCAAGACGTGGCTCACCCCACCTCTGAGCCCAGTCTCAGCTTCACGTTGACTTCACCCTGCGTGAGTTCTCTTCCAACCTCGACCAAACTTAATCCGAAGTGATGGGAAACTGATAAGCGGCTTGTGGGGCTAGGCTGAGATACGGGTGTTCTCGACATTGATCGCACAACACTCACCCCTCCCGCAAATTGCCATGACCGTCTAGCTTTCCCCACCTAAACATCGGCTTCACCCCCTCTCTCATCGGCCGAAGGTACGATCTTCAATCCCGGGTGACGATTGAGTCAATTCGAACCGTCCATTGCTTCGACACCATCCACTGGAGCTCCTCCCCGCCGTCCCCACGTAAGCAGCGTTGATCCTTTCACCGTCGCCGTCCCCAACCTCTCACATTTTCGCGTGACGGGGTTGCTTCGTCGGCGCCAAATTCCACCCGCTTGTCAATCCATAATCTCGGCAACGTGTCGAGAGAGACTGGTTCGGCGTTGGCCGACGGCCTGGATAGGCTGGATCTGAGTCAACTGTCTGAATCAACCCTTTCCTCTTCCGTCTCCGCCTCGTTCGATATGTCGTCATCAGAGGGTGCGCCGGAGTCATGGATCTCCTCTTTCTGCTCGTTGATGGGCCATGAGTTCTTTGCCGAGGTGTCGGAGGACTTCATCGAGGACGACTTCAATCTCACCGGGTTGCAGTCCCAGGTGCCAATGTACAAGGAGGCCCTGGAGATGATCCTGGACGTGGAGCCAGAAGATGACGAGGAGGAAGAGGAAGAAGAGGAGGAGGAGGAAGATGAGGACGAGGTCCTGGGCGATGAGCGACCCCTCGGCTATCGGAGAGCGGGCGACCGCCGGCATGCTCGCGTCGCGAGTGACTTGAGCGTTATCGAGAGCTCTGCAGAGCTACTTTACGGACTGATTCACCAGCGGTACATTACCTCGCGCCCCGGTATTCAACAAATGCTTGAGAAATATGAAATGCAACATTTTGGTGTCTGCCCTCGCGTCAACTGTGGAGGTTGCAAGGTCCTTCCTGTCGGTCGATCTGATACCCCGGGCCAGGAAACGGTCAAGCTCTTCTGCCCCGGTTGCATGGATATTTACACCCCGCCTAACAGTCGCTTTCACTCGGTGGATGGTGCTTTCTTTGGCACGACTTTCGGATGCCTTTTCTTCATGACCTTCCCAGATCTTAGCGTCGGATCACGCCTGGACGTTCCCCTGTCTGCGGCAGCTCGAGCTCAGTCTACGCTAGCCACCCGATCCCCTCCTCCTCAGATTCCGAACGAACCACCCACTCCCGAAGAACAACCCGTCGAAATTAACGGCATGCACACGTCTAACTTCTGCCCCGGCCTCGGACGCGGCAAGATCTACGACCCCAAGATCTACGGATTTAAGGTATCCGAGGTCTCACGGGTCGGCCCGCGCATGAAGTGGCTGCGGATGAAGCCGAGGGATGTCTACGAGGTGGACGAGGCGCGCAACTACGAATTGAATGCCGCGGACCGTGAGGAAGAGGCACGGGAACACGAAGCACGCGAACGTGAGGCTGACAATGATGGCGATACGGAAATGAATGCTGAACAATCACAAGAAGCGGCAATTGCGAATCGGAAAAAGGCACCCATGCGCCGACGACGACCGGGCCCTAGCCAGACGGCACCTTCGGACCAAATGAGTGTGCAGAGCGCAGAGATCGGCTAGGTGAAAGGGGTATACCATCCGAATCGAGTTGTGTCGGACCGGATTGATGAGCGACTTTTTTTTCAAATCTACAACGATCTTTCTCATCAGCGGGGGACTTTCCAGATGGTGTCTTGTTTTACAGTGGTGGTTCAGAGTCCGAGGCAAGGGTGGAGGAAGTAGCTGGGGATTGATGATGACGACAACAGACGACGCGTTCGGTGCTTTTTACATTCTTTTGTCTGGTTTGAATGGGATGTTTACTTTTCTCCTCACCTGTAGTTCTTGATTTTTCAGTCTTTGTCTGTGTGTCCTGCTCCCCAGGCTCTTTTTCCCTCGGTCGTTCTCTCTGAATGAAACAATGGGTTGAAATGGACCTACCTCTGCTCGCCAATTCAAGGTGACTTGTAGATTGACTGTCGCTCTATCCAGTCATGGACGAGAAAGGCCTTTCTTTAGGTTGCTATTACGCTGACAAACTTGTTTGAATCAGTTGACTGCTCAGTCATCATCAGCTGGAACATAATGCTGCGGCCTAGATGGCCAGTTCAGTCATATCGACTTGGCTCGAGATCGATGCCATCATATTGTTCGTCGTTATTGTCACCGTAGTATAAGGCAGCAGTATAGATGGCAATTACCATGTCGTATGGGGACAGTCGAATTTGAAACAGCAGGGTTTATGAGCAAATCATGCTCAAAGGCAACACTCGAAAATGTAGAACACCTGGTACGAATTCCAAATCATAAGTGACGGCCATAAAGCTGACGCCGGGAGAGTGGTATCTTGATCACCAGCAATAATATGCAAAGCGTACTCCAATTAATGGTGCTACTATTCACCTACTTCAATTATTATTTGAACTCTATTTGAGTGACTGCCATCGAGTATCACCAACTGGACCAAACCAAGCCAAGCCAACCAGGGCCGCCCAGCCCAGTGGCTTTCCATCTCGCATACCCTGCCGTCACCTCGTTGTCCAGCCCATCGGCGACGCCGATGCAAAGCGGCACCATCCACTCATAACACCCCTTCCACGACATGACAGACTTGGTGGAATGATTTGTACATCTCCCCTAATCTAGTTTCTCTAAGTGACCGGGATCAGAGTACATACCCTTCAAGACCGTTTCTCCTCACTGTCACATTAAGGCAAACGGTAAACATTGGTCAGCACGAATCTCTAACTACGCAATATATTGCTGATCAATCTGTCCCAAGTTCAAATCCCGACAGACAGAAATCCGTATCCCGGATTACGAATCGCGATCATGGGCGAGATAATAATCAGCAAATAGATGTCATCGGGTTTGAGCAAGCTTGCCCAATATGAGAAAGCGCAGAGTGCCACGCATGCCGTCGTGTCTACATCTAGAATGGGGGACCCTTAGTCGATGACTTTGTAACGCATACGGGCGTAGAGCGGACAAACGGAAAAAAATGCAGCATATGGCATGTTATCGCCTCAATACTATATCGTCGGAGCCGAATTCCAGCGCGTGGCAGTATGTGTATATACTCACAGATGATTTTGCCTGGTTTGCCTGATTTGGCTTGTTGGCAAATTTGCAATCAGGATCGCCGGATGGTGCCACTTCGTCCGAGTCACATGGGCGTAGATCAGATCAAGCAGTTTATGTGCCAAGAAGCAACACTGGTACGCTTGGCGCGTATACGTCCATACTTCTCGGTCGACGGTCGTATAGGGTCGTATACTAGCTTGGAAGGCGGTGATTGGAAGAGCGCTTCCATACTAGCGACGGGTTCCATGATAAGATTGATTTAGATTTACTTTGATTACTTTGTATTCAAAATGAGTTACAATTTCGATTTTGTCGAGTCTCTCCATGAGGAGTAAAAGGTGCGAGATTTGCCTAATAAAGGGGCGAAATTGGTAGTCAACTCTTCCGGGTTTTCGTAGACGTTTTTTACATAGTGGGTCTATCATGTTAAAACCGTCTCTTTAGCGGAGGCGCTGTCGACTGATTCATCACCAGGAGAAGCGATCATTATCAGTTCAGAGTAGAAGCTGCGAGGGGGTACGCTCGGGTAATGATGACATGCCAATTAACTAGCGGTGCCAGGATCACTATAGTTCGGCAGGTTTCCGGGCGCCAACAGAATAAAACAGTGCTAAGGAAACCAATTGGGGGCCCCAGCTAAACTAGTCTAGGGAGGTGTTGAGCCGATCCGTCCTTCACAGAAACTGCATCATATGGAGTAAAGATCGAGACGATGGCCAAATCGGCACTACCAACCGCCTATCTCCTCCTTTTTGACTGGCGTTGTAGGGTGGATTTTTGCAGAAATGTGGCTCTGGACTGGGGGCTCTAGACGGCCCCCAGTTTGGTGGATCGTAATTCAGTATTCGATAGTTAGATTTGGCAGGTCTGTGGATAACCTCTGGTCCGTTAAAACTTCGCCTTTTTGCTACTAGACGGTCGGTAACTTATTGTCTGTGCTTGGATAAGCGACTCATGATTCATGAATCACCAGCGCTATGGTGGGTCAACCCAAAATGATTCAGGACATGCCGAAATCTCGCCATGGTTGGATTCTTATTTTTATGATGGCATCGGCAGTCGTGTGCAAACGTACGGCGTATTCCAAATCATTCTTTTCGTTAAGGCCCCCCTCTTACACCCTTACACTCAAAGCTCAATGTTCTTGAAGCTATGACACTCAAATTTCCAAGCATTGTATGAGAACTGTGTTCGGAGAATCACGATGTTTGCATCGGACTTTGAGCGAAAATTCGGTAGTGATCGCCCCCACAACCTGGCAATTGGCCCGGGCGGGGGAGCTATGATCCAGTGTTTACCATCTGTCGCCCTGCTTTGACATGGGTAAAGCGAAGGATAGCGCTATCCTTGTCCTATCTGGCGAATTCTGCCTTGTCAGTCCTCCTGATTGTGTGAGTGGAAGGGAGAAAACTTCCTTAGACTGCCCCCAACACCTTCGTGTTTCATGTCACCGCAGTGACTTAGCTCCAATCATACCGCTCTTAACCTAGTTTCTCGGTAGAAATGACCGAATCCCGAAATCCCCCTCTCCCAGCGATAAGGTTGAGCATGTAGGCGGTTGTAACCAGCCGATACTGCAGACCTGCAGACGCCCCCCCCTAGAGGGAGCAGAATTCGCGTAGGGAGGAACTTGACGGGCTGGAAGGGGACCCAGCAAGCGAGAGCCGAAACTCAGACCACCAGGAGCCCTGATAAGAGCCAAGCATGCAGGCTAACTTGAATAGGAAAATGGAGACCCCTAATAGCGTGCATGGGAGAGGGGAACCAAAATGGAAGAATCATAATAACCGGGAGAGGCGAAGAAGCTGAAGAAGAGACCCCCCTTTGGCCGAATCCATGGTTTGCCCCCAACCGCGATCCCCCACTATGGAGTTCTAGATTGTACGATTGTACGGGTACCACTCCTGAACATTCGGGCATTCTCCGGACAGAGATTCTTAACTCCGGTGGAACTTCCAGAGTCTGTTTCAATAGTATCCAGGTAATGGGTAACCAGTCATCTCTATGGCCAGGCTCAGCCGGCTCGCGGCGGAGGTGGACGACCACTTACTGATTTAGGCGTCCGCTGGCCCTATGAGTATTGAGGAAATGATGAAGGAGCCATGAAAGGAATTCTGCAGACTGGATGTGATGGACAGGCCCATTTTCAGCCCTTTCGCCTGGCCTAAACCTTGTTGGGATCCCGTCATTCACGGCCGAAACGTCGGCGGGGAGTGTCCGCGGTGTGGAGAACGAGGCAGGACTAGTAGGGATACATAGTACTGTACAGCAGGGAAAGGGTTATTGAGGAATATTCATCTCGAAGCACTATATGGGGTACTAACTCCCCCAGGAGAGATTCCAGTTCTTGTAACGCGGGCGGGGGCCACCACGACTAGGCCCGAACTGGGGACAGCTACCAACGGCGCGAAAAGCCGTTCTTTGACTCGACCCGTTCAGCCTGCGTTCTTCTTATTCCCGGGCCCAGCATTCTGGGGCCCTAGTGCTCCTCGTGGCATAGTGTCTACCGAGCGTCCGAATCATCATTCGCCGTTTTGAGGCGGCTCTTGCTCCGGCACGGACGCAGTGTTGGCCCGTAACAATCGCCAATCCGAGTCGTATGCGGCGCTCGGCTTGATTTATGGTTGGTGGGTGGTGCGTCGAAGAGGGTTTGGGGGCTTGCAGGGTCTACTGGTCAGGATGGGTTAAGTGCTTAGCTCATAACCTATCGCCGACGACCCCTGGGATACACGTTGTACCGGCCAGCTATTGTCGTTGGTGTGGAGTCACCCCCGACTAGTACAGTTATAGTTAGTGCTGCGACCTGCTGCTCTACCCGCAGCCTGCCTAGTACAAAACAGTACTTAGCTCAACACCAGCTATGACTGATGTGGCTCCCTGCTGCTTGGCTGCACCTTACGATGCCATGCTAACAAAGCTCCCGCCCTCGTGGGCTGCAGCTTGGGAGGCGCAGCACATTTCGTTGCCTCTCCACATGCCAGGCCGGTTCAGCCCTTCGCCCAAGTAGGTATACGTATATTGCTCTTTTCGGACGGGGCTGAAGTGAGGGGGTTCTTGTTTGTATGTACGCAGTACTTTGAATTGCATCATTAACGACTAGTGTAGTTCTTTGGGTTTTCGGCTTTCGGGGTTTAAACGGAAAAATAGATCCGAGAAGTTAATCTGGTAATTAGAAATCATGATTAACAACCCGCGCGGAGCATACCAACAGTCCTCTAAGAAATGTACCCTGGCTACAACGGAAGGAGTGTTTTTGGTCGGAGGTCTGCGGATAGAAGGGCGACGTATTCTGCTCATGCTAATTCAAATGCTAAATTCAAATCGAATATTTAATTCCAAATTTTGATTCGCAGCCTCAACGCCTTATAGGCAGCAGCTCGAGTCTGGGGGATTCGGGTCATGATGGCATTTCCGATTTCTGCAGCGATCCCTCTCAAAGGAATCCGTTGGACTGGGCGTAGTCTCCGGTCGGCCACATGGACGTACCAGCCGACACGAGGTAACTTTGGCGTGCTCTATCTCCTGTACGACGCACGCAGGGTAGTGGACAGGTAAAGAGAGCCAAGACACACAGGGTCTTTGATAATACAGTAATAAGCTCGATGGGGCTGAAACGTAATCAATCTGTTGAATTTAATTCAACCAGATAATCGTGAGAGAAGGCTGAAGAAGGCCTGGCGATCTCGATGGCCCCCCCTCCTTGAGCGTCCCAAGTGGGAAAAAGCAGGATGTTTCATCGCCGTTAAGATTCACTTAAACGGGTTACCTCGCGGCCATGACTATTTCATTACGATGTAACAGGTAGACAAGTTAGGAAACCAACTCGTTGGTTATTTTGTTATTCGAGCTAATTACCGTATGCCCAATTCGGCATGTAGGCTTCCCAATCCGTCGGGATTCGGCGCTCCACTTTCTCAGTTGGCCCCCGGCCTTTGCCCTCCGCGCTCCGGAACACTCTGGGGTCCGTTGGGAGAAGCCCTCCTACTATAGTCATGCCTATTTCCCTCTAGGCAGAGGCAGGAGCACAAAGTAGGCAGAAGTCTGGTAGGTAACCTGCATTCTGAAATACTCAACCCAGGACGAACTCCAGAACGAGTAGGAATGTTGGAAGCCTGAAAATCCCGCAGGGTTTGGGGGCCAAGCGGAGGTTTTGTCCCCGCGATGGAGCCAATCGCCGCCGCCGATCGAAAGGTTATTATGAGTCTGGCCCTAAGGCGGAGCTAGCGGAGGGTTAGGAATCACTCTAGGCTGTCTCAAACTGCTGCGCAATATTAATAGCTACCTAAGTGGGCAATACGAGCATTACCGAGAAAGTCATAGTCTCTGCAGTAGTACTTTTTCAGATAGTAGTATTTGAATGTAGAAGGTGGTAATTAAACAAGAAGGCGAAATAGTGGCATTTGCTCCTGTATTCTAGTTCCGTTATCAGTCGTAATGATCTTCCGCTCCCAAAAAGAAAAAAAAAAGAAAAAAAAAAAGAAAACAAATCCCGGCGTGCCTTTTCCCCACGGTAAAAACACCAGAGCTCGTAGTATATCCGTATACCATACACGGCCCGGTCCAAGAAAAAATTGACAAATACCAGAGAAGTCTGGAGAGACCTCGTAAACGCCAAGATGATGCTCGCTCGTCACACACGTCCCCGTAAGGCAGGGTCATAAAGAAACAAAGTATAGAAAAAATAACAGTGAGGAAAGTAAACGAAATAAGGGAAAAAAACCGAACAAAGTGGAGATGATTCGGACCAAGTGAACGGAGCGAAGAATAGAGAGTCATAAGGTGGTTCCCATTTCTCTTTGAGTTCCCTAATCGACAGCCCTGAATCAGGTGCCTAACGAGTAGAAACGGGGCGGGAAGCGCGGGGGTCCATCAGGGTGGACCTACCCGCAGGGCCTGCCGGTTGTACGCGACCCTGTCTCTCCCTTCACCCAGACGGTAAAATAGTAATTTAGAAGCGGGGCGAGAGGCGCATTGATCCGATCCTAACTCTGAGCCAGTGATTTTCGATTTTCGAATTCATCATTGTCTCAGGTCATACTCGAACAAGCCCGGCATTGAGCGCGGCGAGCATGGGGGTGACTCGGGGGTCAGGGGAAACGTAAAGATCGAGGCTTCAGGCGAAGCCGTCGAAGTCGAAGCCGCTCGATGATCATGTTCATGGATCTGAGCAGAACCATGTATATAGCCGTAAGAAAGCGAGGGCACCTGCGTGCAGAAACAACAGAAGATATTAGCTTTCTCGTTGTCCGGTCGAAGATCGCATATTCCAAGATGAAAGGAAGAAAAGGAAAGAGGAAACAGGTGCTTGCAGTCGCGCATATTTGAGAGAATTTTTGAGACTAGCGAGGGAAATGTACCGGAAGGCTTGGTTCTGCGTGCTGCTGTGGCACTAAGTCGATGCCTGCCATCGATGCGTAGCTCATGCTGAACGGACTCATCATGTCCTCGTCGTATGGCTTGCGGCCTATTCCTGGGGCGCCCGCCATCGGCACCACGCTGGGAACTGGTTCGCCGTAGTCGGCGAATGAGATGTCATTATAGGAGCTTGGGACGGTGTGGTAGATTGGCATTTGCCCGTAGCTGGGTCGGTAGGCGTCGTAGCTCGGTAGTGGTGGGTATGAGAAGACTGGGGGCGGCGAGGCGGATAGTTGACGAGTACATTGTTGTCCAAACATACCGCGCTCATCTTGTGTACTGTTGTAATATTCGTACGAGGCTGGGCGCTCGGGTGCTGATGTGTGTACTGTGTGCGCCTTGTCGGTGGCTTTGCCGGCTCGTGATTGTTTGGAGCGAGACTTGTTAGGCGTAGGCTTGGGAGGAGCCGCTAGCTCGGCGTGTGAGGCTTCTGGAGAAGCGGAAGATGCTGCACGGCGCTCAAGATCTTCCAATCGTCGCTTCAGCTTCTTGCCTGTGGGAAGTGGTCAGTAGAATGAACGGGATGATTGATTAGGGTTGCGCGGGAAGGGAAACTCACGATAGTTTCGTTGCGCAATACGATTTTGAATGCGCCGACGCTCTGCAAGATCGGAGATCTTGGTCCAGTCCTCATTTGGGTTGGCGTTGGGACTGAAAGCGCTGCTATTACTGTGACTTGAGGAACGATGCATGGTGAATAGGCAGTAGCCGTAGTGGTAAAGCAAGAGTGTATAGTATCAGTTCGGTTTGGCGAGGTGGGGTATGAGGATCTCTAGATCGAACAGAGTAATAGTATGTCAGGTGTATGAAAGGTATATAGGTGTAGAAGTAGAAGGCAAGAAAGGACCAAGATGATTAAGTCGGGGAGAGGGGGTGGGCGTTCAGATTGATTATATAGCATCGGGGGTTCGGAGAACGGAGTAGCGAGTGGATAGTTCACTGACAGAATGGGGCTCCTAAACACGTCGATCAGCTGGGTTGATTTCCTCGGGCCTTTTGGGGCCTTGCATGGGCACGACATGGCCTTAGGCCGTGAGCTAAGCCCCGTCGCGATAAACCCGTGCACGTCCGTAGTTAATACCCTGGCCCAGTCGACTCGAAGCTTGGTGCAGGACAGGAAATAATTGTTTTTCATTTTCTTTTTGCAAATAATTTATTTTTACCAGGAAAATCATTATTATTATTTTCTTAAATCCGTGATTTGCCATAACTATTCCCAAGGCAGTGAATCATGCTAGATCATCCTGACTTGGTCCTTTTCAACCTCTAAACCTATGTAGGTAGGTCAAGACGACTTTCCTCTACTGCCATATTTTATTTCATACCAAATAGATTTCTTCTGCCAAATACAAACCGTCATTCATCCCTACGTAGCCATCTCTCGTCTTAAGTGACTCTCTAGTTCGAGAATCCAAATACACAGAATAAAATGAGCGTTTCGCGCATAGACAGGGATGGATCCGGGCTACCGTTCAGCCTCGACTGGGTCCAGGACCGTCTTGGGCCACCCTCCACCCACCAATCTGGGCCACGTTTTTTTCGGATTGCCACAAGGGCTGCACGGGGCGCATCATTCGTGCGAGGTACTCTTGAAGCCAGAAGAAACAAAAGTAGAGAATACAAAAGGCAATAGTATTGATCGACCCGACTCTTTTCTACACTCGCATCATACAACCTTCTCTTTGCTCTTTGCCATTCTGTCCAGGGTTAGATTTGCGATGATGATGATTCATGATTTCGGCCCCCCCCCCGGTCACTTACTGCTTGCGTGCCCCGCCCCTCATCCTTTTTCCGCCTTCTTGAATATGGCCCCCCGCCGTCATTTTCCTAAACCCGACGTTTTTAGTTGGGTGATGGTTACGTAGATTAGTTATCGGGAGGGTCTGGTCATCTACGGTCGCGAACCCATGGTTAAAGGAGATCAATTATGTGGCATTCGACAAGGGAACAAAACACGGGCAGAGTTAATTATGTCGTACATATACGAGCGAACATCCAGTAGATAGTGTAGAAGAAATAGAAATGATTCACTGGTGATCCATGGATACCGAAATAGAAGACCTGTGGTGGGGTTGTGCCAAAGTGCTCAAAGTGTATTCTGGGCTAGAGCAACGAACGCCTACGGCATTCTGACTGGCCCGAGACACGACACGGCGAGGGCCAGAAGGGGGGGGGGGGGGGGGGGGGGGGGGGGGGGGGGGGAATGATGAAACGGGGAAATGCGCAGACGCATCAATGTGTCCCTGAGGGTGGTTACACCAACATTCCCGCTCTCACGTGGACGCAGGAGCTGAAGGGAAGAACGGAGAGAGGTCAGAAACGAAATCGATTTAGACTGGAAGGTAGGGTAGCAGTATGGGGATAGCAGAGTATACCGGCGACGGTAGGGACTACTTTCGTTGTTTGAAGTTATGGTCTCAAATGACAGTTCTCGTGGAAACGGTTTCCAGTTCAAATTAGATCTAAAATCTAGAATTATCAGACTTGAAACGATTTAAAGCAAGCTGGAAAGTATCGTAGCTACGACCAGGATAGTATGGAGTATTAATTTAGCTAGGCGAGCTGCAATTGATAAGGTGGCTAAATAAATGATTAGGTGATTATCATTTATTCGGGAATCAAGTACTGTATCCTTATACGCTCTCTCCCTTCAACCGAGAAACACCTTAGGGATGCACGGAGGTACTCCGTACTCTCTCCTCCACTCCAGCTGAACCCGATCAAGCCCAAATAGGCTAGTGTTGCGCTGTGGGCCGTGGGAGAACTGGGGGCCCTGCCACGTTTTTCCGTTGTCTCGTCGGCGCGCAGGCTCTTGGCAACGGACTAAGGGGATAAGGATCTGACCCAACGGGTTGCGCTGATCTTGATGATCATAAAAAATTAGTCTTGACTTCAGTCTTATGTGCTGGCTATACACTGTAGTTTTCTCGTCTTCTCATGGAAATCGAGTAGCACCCTATTTTTCAATCAAGAACTGCCTTCGAGTGATCCAAAACGACGTACCGCATTGGATCGGAGTCCGACTTTGCGATTGGGTGACCAGGAAGCGGGGAATACAAGAGGGGAAGGATCGAAAATGACAAAGAAAATGATAAAATAGAAATAAAATAAGGAGGCAAATGAATGGTAATACTGGCTATACCAAGCATCGCTAGATCTTTGTATCATACGTTTATCGTATCAGTTATCTAGAGAACCGTGGACGAGGAAGCGCCCAGAACCCATCCAGCCATTCCAACCCTCCAAGAACTCTAGGCAAAGATAGCAAGTGGGGGCAAAGGGAAGCGAGTGGAGAAAAAGACAACCGACTGCCACCAAACATGCTGGACTCGGCGTTTGTACTGTAGGTTCCCAGAATCAAAACAATAATGATCGAGAAAGGGAGGACGAGCGGACGCAGTCCGCACTGAATGGAAATGGGGCCAATCGAGTATCGCCTAACAATTCCCAATTTTGACGGGGTCCAAAACGGGCTCGTCTTGCGATTGGGTAGTTCGGATGCGGTAGGTGCTAAACGGGTGCTCGGGCTACGGGTCGGGACTTGGCTCGCTGAACTGCTGGATTCTGGAGAGAGACACGGCTAAGGTGATTCGGGGATAAATGAAAAGACCTCGTGGGCGGGACTATTCTGTGTGTTGGTGTCAATGAGGAAATTAGTTCGGAGTAGCTCGTTCGGTTCGTCTGTTAGTACTAAATTGAGGTTTAGTTCACCCGATATTCATTTGGACAAGATCGGCGCGGTCGGTTTGTGATTGAGATTTGCTTGCTAGTGGCTTTGATTAGAACTTCGGTTCTGATAGATGCGCTCATTACAGTAGCATCTGCATGTTAGTGGTTACTCGGTCATATTATTGCCTGCTGTCCGTTCGCTGCATCCTACGGCCGTATTTCTTGCAACCCTAATCCCCTCGTGGCTTAGCTGGTCCGGTCCTCTGGGAGCATCCTCCCCTGTCTCATCTCAATCCCGTCCAATGTAACGCTCAATGAACCTGCGAGATGAGATGTTATGTGGTCGGATCGTTTCTTTTTTTGGCTCCATCTGGCGCTGGTGCCATTTCTTGTGTGCTTTGTATCGTTTAATTACCGAGCTAGGCTGGAATATTTGCAATGCTGTAGGTTCGGCCGTGATGAACGTGATTCTATATATTTAGAGACAAAGTAGACCTCATCGAGTCGCTCCGACTCGGTCAAACTCACATGTCCGCGTTTATTCTGCTTGCCCGATTGGCGTACTTGTAATCTGCAGTGGGTGGTATGCGGCGCACTGTTGGCCCCAAGGTGCTTACCCAAATAGTTTGTTTTCTGGGCTCTGTTATTCTCGAACTCTGGACCATTTTCAGGGCTGAGGGGGCGCGTTAGGGGGTGCTGTTTAAACGAGATGGCCCGAAATAGGATATGGTAACTTGCGTTGCTTGGCTGCTAGGGTGCCAGCAAGCCAACCCAGATGGGGTATATGCATATCGGGAACGCGAGCAGCGTACGTGATTGACCGAATGAGCGAGGCTCGGGTGGGGTGGAAGGATATTGGAGGATATTGAGAGGCGGGGGGATTAGGCGTGCAGGCAACGTGCCAATCACTCGGCGCAGCGAACCCCCTGGTGATGGCAGTGGAAGAAGAGATCGAGTGAGTGGCAGTAGGTGAAAATGGAAATAGAAGTCTGTGCGAGATACAATAACAAACGGAAATAAAGGGTCCTAAATTCCAAATATGCCATGACAGTCTAAAGGGTCAGAGTTGTAGGGCTGAAAATGAAAAGGGCATCTTCCTATTTGGGGCAAGTGCACATGACTCTCCGACTTGCACAGCCTGTGACTCGTACCTCAGCCCTTGGTCGCTACTCCTAGTACTCTGTACTCTGTACTCCATACTCTGTACAATCTCAACTCTCTCCCAATTCTGTCTTGCATCTTCCGTCATGCAGCCCTTTCCGGGCTCTCCTCCCTTCACCGCTGTTAACGCCCGCATCCCCGCCGCAATGACAAGCCTCCCACCGTCATCCTTGGCCCCCATCCTCTCCAGAACAGGGATCTCCACCATTCACAGCCCTCCCTTGACCCCAGATGCCTGGTTGGGAGTGCAGCAGCAGCGTTCTAGTAACTATCTAGAATAATGTTCCTGGCGGTGGACGAGCGACGTGCCGCTTCTATCCTGCTTCTGTTCTGCACCGCGCTGCACCGTCGCCTCGGGAGGGCAGACCCTCTTTTTCCTCTTCGTCCTTGGCCAGACCGACAGGGCAGCCCAATGACACGCAGCATTCTGCACCCAGAGCTTCTCATCAGGGTCCTTTCCAGCGGTGACGATATCCTTCTGCTTCCGACATGCTACCGGTCCGTGTCCTTCGTTCAACCTAAAATCATCCTGACCAGACTCATGCAAACTCGGCAATCTCCGATCCGTTTCACTCTGGTCCATGGCACTTACACATACCCTTTCCCCTCCATTCCACTGGTTTCCCATTCCCGTCTTTACACAGGTTACACCGTGATGCCAAAATTGACGGAGTCACGAAACGCATCCGGTAAATGGTCCTGTCCTGGCTGGCAATTCTTCTCTTGGATCTTGCCAGCTGTCTTGATGGTTGGACAAGGCGTCCCGTCGTGCCAGCTCTACTCTATCCAGATTCAGCAGCATTTGTGACCGAGCTTTCGACCCACCGTCCACCCACCGTGGTGATTTGCCACGGTGAAGCTTTTTGTGCTAAGATACCGTAGAATGACAGCTTCATGGAGAACATAATCTCAGCTCTCTCTCCGAATCTCTGGAATCTCTACCAGATGCCGTGTTCATACCCACCCAGAGGCTGGACGTCAGGTGCCCAGTCTCGCAACACTAACCGATCTTTTACAGACCAGACTTGAATGAGTTCGATTATTCACGATGACAGTAAACCATTACTGTCTTATCGCGATGGCTACTTTTCTAACCTCTTCTGGAAGGGCTGAACGATAATGTTACCTATGCGACCAGAGTGGTCATTCCTAAGTTGTCACTGCGCCCTTTTCGCCGCCCCCAAAGA